CTTGTGATTTGAGCAGGATGGGAGTGGTATATCCATTTTATTTCTTGACTGTGAGAAGCTATAGGCAGCTTTTGATAGCATTGTTCATGATATCTTGAACTGACTTTAGGGGCTGGGAGTGGATTTTACTGTATTGTGCTATTTCTCTTCTTTGGGCATGGTCCAATCAGTATTGATTACAGGAAGAAATCCTGTTCCTGCTTTGTGAGTTTCCACAGAGACCAGTAGTTGCCCTGCTCCTGTTTAGATCTACCTCAAGCCATTGAATGAGGTAACATCAGTATGCTAATAAAATATGTCTTGGCTCTGGAAATCTTTGCACTTATTAAACATTTTTATTAAAAAAAAAGAATCCCATCGTTTGATTGTTTGGAAGGGTAAGCTCAATCTGGATTTATTTCTTCACTCTGTCAAAAATCTTGTAGTGGAGAAAATGAGGTTGCATCTTTTTTCCTTTGTTAAAAGACACATCTGGAGTCTGGGATTAAAATTAAGAAGAACAAACTAATGACAACAGGTATAACAACCAGCCTTACAATCGATGATAAAATTATTGAAGTAGTAGATAATGTCCCACCTTTTAGAATCAACTATCAACAATAAAGAAATAAGTAACCAAGAAAAGGGCTTCAGACCAGCAGTGTAGAGCAGTAATAAAGACCTTGGAAAAAATGTTCGGATACTGTAATGTGTAGGTATAGCCTACAAAGATCAGAATAATACAAGCAATGGTGTTTTCTATAATACACTATAGTTTGCTTACTTGATTCGCTTACTATGAACACAACTATTGTAGGTTATATACGAGGGCAGTTCAGAAATAAGCCTCCATTTGGTTATCAATGACAGACACTCGCAGATACAGAACCTTTATTATACACATTAGAAAACTACAGCATTACATTACTTTTTGACATAATTGCCATTCAAATTGAGCCACTTGTCATAACATCTTACAATGTTTGAAATTCCTTAGTAGTAGTCGCTTGGTGCTAAATCTGGGCTATGGGGGGGGGGTGATCAAAAACATCCCAATGGAACTGCTTCAAAAGTTCTTGGGTGGTCTAGCGGGGTGCGGGCAAGCATTATTGTGAACCAACACCACACCGGAAGTGGTGCCATAGAATATCCCGCCAAATGTGAAGATGCCAAAGGAGTACTGCTAGTGAAGTTCATGGAGCATGGTTTGACCCTCAATTTAGAAGTCTACTGTGAAACATTACGAAAATTCAGACGAGCCATCCATAACAAGCGTCAGGGCATGCTGACTTTTGGTGTTCCAAGAATTTGGGATATAAGCCAAATTGTTTGTTCATTACGTTTTAGCATTAATTTGGGTCACCCTTCCCAAACCAGGGTGCCCTCCAAATGTGGACGTCAGTTCTCAGCGATAGTAATGACTGTTGAAGAATTCTGGGAACTGAATTCCATTTGGCAAGTGGTTTGAGGGAATACTTTGTTGTTCTCCGATTCTTTTTATGTGTGGGGAGGGGGAGTAGCCTTTACTAACTTGAGCATATGTGGAATTTCTCAGTAATGTGTGTGAGCATGTTAAGTCTGGAAGTGACATGCATTTGGAGAGAATCTATTAGCAAAGGCTCTTCCAGATCATCAAGGAACATGTATTTGGTTGCTACTGGACACCTTTGCAAACCTAGATGACATATGTGGGGATAATGCTTCTTCCAGCTTTGCATGCTTGCTCAATATTTGCTATGAAGATTGCAGTAAATTGCAAGAGTATTTCTCTAAGAGGAGAATGGACCTACCTTTCTTCAGCATCTGTTTTCCTTTTTCCTGGAATTCAGTCTTAATTATTAATATTATTACTGTTCCAAAACTTTCCCCCTTTGTCAGTCCAAGAACTACGTTGGCCTAATACACAATCTTCATACAGAAACTTAGCAAAGGAAACCTTGCAGGAAGGAGCCCCAGCTGTCAGTCTTGAAAGGAGAGGTTTGAAAACATTTCTGAGTAACCACAGTGCATACCACAATCAATTAAGGGAACTCTATGCTGATGTCAATCTGAGCTCCATTTTAACTCTAGCATATAAAGTTTCTTTCAAGGTGATGTTTTATTCAATTTAATGACCCTCATGAAAACAAAAGAGGAGTGGATTTCATCTCAATGGATCAATGAGTACTTTGATGCCAGATTTGTATGTATCTAAGAGAATGGAAAAATATCTATTAGTTGATTAAATACAGATTTAAAGGTGTGTTTCCATTCAATTGTTTCTTCTGAAAGTGAGTTTGTGGCATCTTTTTAAGCAAAGTAATGCAGTGTTGATTTTATAGCATCCTATAGCACCATTAAACCATCACTGTACCAAAAATAATAGCAATGAGGAGAGGCTTTATATTACATCAGCATAGCAGTATGATAATAGATGGTACTATGAGACAGCTGTGAGAATCCTGCCTAAATGAATCTCTCAACTCAGAAAACCACAAGGCAGGTGGCTTGCTCAGTAGAAATGGAACAGAGAAAACAGTTTTATCCTGATAAAAACTTTATCCTTTTTTCATCTAGTTTAGCATTCTCTATACCAGGGATGTGTAATTTACACTTATGGGGCTGCATAAGACACTGCTCTCATCCCAAAACCTTGGATACAGCCTCTAAAGATCCTCCAAAACATTCCAGTTGATTATATTTTAACATGACAAAATGGAAAAACTATTAAACATATATGAAAATGATGGCATCAATTGCATAGTTTTTAATTTAAATTTCCATTCAATTAGATACAATTTAGTTTTTGTTTTAAGTCCCACCTATCTTATTTTTGGAGTAAGAACATTTCATATTATTGATAGACCAAATAGGACCGTCAGTTTGGAAAAAAAAAAAAAGTATACCACGATCTATACCAGAGGCTCCCAACCTTTTGAGCACCAGGGACCGGTTCTGTGGAGAAAGATTTTTCCACGGACCAGAGGAGGCGTAGTTTCATGTGCTGCCTGCATCCAGTGGATGGGGCTTCGCTTGTTTGCGTGACAGGTTGCTGGTATGCCACAGCCCGGTGCTGGACTGGGGGTTGGGGACCCCTGATCTACACTGATTCCAGTGGACAATATATTTCAAAGCATTTTGACAGTGACAAATAGTATCAGTGAAAAAAAATCAAGTGAGAAAAATGTTGACTAATTAATATATCTGAAAGTTAAGTTTAGTGCTTTCATTGCTTATTTAACTGAGTAATGCCAAGGTAAATAACTAAAACTAAGGTTACAGTTTCCAGAGAATATCAAACAGGGAGATGGTTGGACATTAGAGAATTGTGTCATATTCTTCTAAATTAAATGAGTGAAAAATGGATTCTCTGAACTCTATAAACAACATAGAGTTTGTGACTCAGCATGCACACAGAGATATTCAACCACTGTGGTTTGCAAAACATGGCTATGGTTTAATATTTTATGTGACCAGAATCAAGTAGGGTTTATGTATTTAACCATACTTGCATGATCTATGAAGATAGCCACTGACTATGTTAAGAATATCCAATGTAGCTATTTTCTTTTTTTTTTGTGTTGAATAGCTGTTGCTGTGGTATCAACAGAAGAGAAAGTTGGTCTTTGGCATGCTTATTCTTCAATGCAGTTGATGTAAACATTTCTAAAAATAATTACATTGGATCTAGAACAAAAAACTGCCCAGAACCTTGGAAGGATAATTTCATATGTTACAACAAATAAGTATTTTTGATAACATTTCAGCTGCTTTTAAGTATGCTTATTTATTTGGTGTATTTAACCCCCTTTCCCCCCAGCAATCTCAAGGTGGCATATGTGCAGATCGCCTCTATTTTTATTCCTATAATTACAGCCTTGTGAAGTAAGTTGGGCTGAGAATCATGGTCCAAAGTCAACCAGTGACCTTTGTGAACAAGTGGGGGCATAAACCTGGGTTTTTTCTGTCTAAGTCCAATATTTTAATCACGCCACAAGTTGAAGAAGAATACTGCAGCGTGAAGTGAAATATCTTTAGATATTGGATGCATGTTTTAGAGATCTCTCAGTAACAAAACAGACACATTATGGATCTAATAAATAATAAACAAATATTGAAATACTTCTAGATCAGGGAGCAAAACAAAATTCTGAGTGGGCTTCACAGTTCCTCTTAATGCTGCTGAAGAACTATAATTTTTAATTGCCACAAATAAGGGAAATTATTATATAAAGGATTAATATTTAATTAAAGTATATATGTAATCCACTTAAGTTTTTCTTTTTTAATGTACTGATCTTTAGGGTTTCAGCCCTTAGCAATATCACGTAAAGACAAAAATAAGATTGGCTAAAATAAGATTGCCTATTTCTGCTGTAAATAGTATTATTGAATCATTAAATGTTGGCCTCAATTGTATTTGGAATAAAGAACATGGGCCAAATCTTGAAAAAGTTGGTGTTGATTATGATCCATTGAAAACCAGTAGGACAAATTACAGTAGTTGCAATGATCTATGGCCCATTAATTTTACTGGGATTTTAGTGTGATGTTTTTTTGGGGAACCTGGATGTTCTAGAACAGGGATGTCAAATTGCCAGCCCGCAAGCTGGTTGCATCATGCAGAGGCTGCGCCCACTCCAGCTCCGGCAATGCAAAAAAAGTTGTGATACATCGCGACACGTCATATGATGTGGCGAGTTTGACATTCGTGCTCTAGAATCATTGAACCATTATTATGTAAAATGATAACGAGGGCTTTATATCACCTCAGCAACAAGTTACCTTTTTATTAATAATAGCCAGATCTGTAAAACATGCATGGCAATGTGTAACTGTTATTCTAATATCCCCATGAGATGACAAAAATGGAAATTGCTTAAAAGTCATTGAGCAATAGGCATGCTGGTTGAGAAAGTAGGAATTGTAATCTTGAGAGTACTAGTTTATGGAAAGCTGTGCTCATGGTTTGCTTTAAATCCTTTCTCTGTAGAACTGACCCATTAGTTGTTGGGTTTTTTTTTTTAAACAAAACAAAATAGATGCTGATGCACTGGGATTAGCAGATCCAAAGCTGTGCTACATTCTGGATGGGATCCTTTTAATATATGCTATCATCATCACAGCCCTTTTCATGAAAGTAAAGGTAAGATATTTTCAGAAAGAGATTTCTTTATTGTTTTACATAAACACAGAGGAACCTGAAGGAAAAAAGGTCCCTGTGACTTTAATCCTTTTGATTGTATGTTTGAATGTTCATGTAAATCTTAATGATATAAAATTAAGAGAAATTACTCCTGAAATCAACTTTCAGTGCAACAGTTCTATAACACTGCAATGTCCCTCATATAACTATTATAGAAAGATTATCCTTCTGTATCTTATCCCAAAGTTCAATACCCAGTCAAAATGTTCCCTACATTATTAGTTGTTACTCTCAGATCTTGCAGATTTGCATCACTTTCCCCAATCCTGTGATTCCTAGCTATATTGGATTTTATCCTGCAGTGGCCACATTGCCTTGCAGTATTATGGAAGCTGAAGTTCCACATCAGTGAGGAGATATTATTATTATTATTATTATTATTATTATTATTATTATTATTATTATTATTATTATTATACATTTGGAGGGTGTCCAGTTGGAAAGAGCTAATATATAGTGTTCGCTGAAGGCTTAGTAATATACTGACACTATTTTATAAATTCCTAGTGGCCTTTGGAATAGAAATGGACAGTTTTGTGAGTAAAAGTTCTTATATTACATATTTGTCAATATTTTTCCAGCTAAGCAATCGCTCTACTGAATCCAAGCCTTCTCAAAATGCAAATGATATATATAATGTAAGTAGTGAATTTTTTATGTCTCTTATATCAGGGCTTTTCAACCTTTTCACCGATTGTACCACTTTTAGGATATGGCAATATTCAAGTACCACCTAGCAAGGTGTCAAAAACTTGATGACCCTCCCCCCCAAAAAAACACCAAACCTGTTCAAAGTTGCAATTGCACTGAAATGACTTATGACCATTTTTCACACTTATGACCATTGCAGCATGCCCAGGGTCATGTGATTTATATTTGGATGCTTGGCAACTGATTCATATTTATGATGGTCACAGTGTCCCAGGGTCATATGATCTCCTTTTGCAACCTTTTGACAAGCAAAGTCAATGGTAGGGCTGCTGGTGGCCAAGTGCTAAGGGGGACTTACTTCCCTCCCTCCCTCCTTCCCTGCCTCCCTCTTTCTCATGACCACCTCCTTCTGAAGGAAGAATTTGAAACCCCCCCCATATTTTCTCTCTTCCATATATTCATCAAACAAGGAAAAGCCTCCAGAGACAGAAAAGACAAACTGCTGAGTGAACTAGCTTAAAAAGGCACATTCCCCTTTAAGAATTAGCTACTGGCTAGAAAGAAAAGTTAAGGAGTAACAAAAAATGTAGTAAGTATTGGCTGCCGGCTAAGGCAGCCCCCCCCAAATGGCTCCATTCATAAGTAAAGAAATGCTACAGGCAAAATTCATTCAGAAGAAAAATACTTCAAAATCCCTTGCAGCAAAACTTACAGGTAACAATAGCAGAGCAATAGAAGCTAACATCACCTCCAGCCATTGCTGCCTTTTTTCATTCCTCGTGGAGGGTGACCCCTCCCCCGTGCATTTCTTCCCAGTTTGCTGCTGCCAGCAGTTGTACATTGGCTCATGGCCGGCCATCTTGATCTTCTCTCCTCTCCCACCCTCCTCCTCCTCCTCCTTCTTTCTCTTCGGTGCAGCTAGAGCGGACTCCCCCTCCTCCCAAGGCTGCTGCTTTTCTCTCTCTCTCCCTCTCCCGGCCAAACTGCCTCCTTTTATAGCCTTTCCTGTCTCCGGCCCCCTCCTCCTCCTTTCTCAGCCACTCTGCAGCTCCAGAGGACTCTCTCAGTAAGTCCTTGCCTGCGCTGCTCTTTCCCTCCCCCACTACACTTGACTAGGCAGGGCTGTGTATCACCTGCCACTTGTTAATGTACCACAGGTGGTACATGTACCACCGGTTGAAAAGCCCTGTCTTATATAATTTGGCACCTACAAATAAAGTGACGAGGTAACATACAAGATGGATAATTGAGATATCAATCTGCCTGCGGAATCCAGTGAGATTTATTCAGGGGACCAAGTCAAAATGATTCCTTTTAGTATAGTATAGGGATTCCCTGCTACCTTCTTCTGCCAAAATTACTAAATGCCAAGTAAAAGGGGTGGGGAGGTTCTCGTGTGCAATTATAGGAGAACCTCCAGGCTATAGTTATACAGCTCATTTTTAATTAAGGCAATTGTAGTGGTTTACTTGATATAGGATTTTGCTTATTCAGTAAGCTTTCTGAAGAAGGACGCACATTCTCTCAATATTTTCACTGTATTCCTGAAAATCCCATTCCCCAATATTTGATTATCTCTTAGAAGAACTGTCTATGTCCTGCTGGAGGAAAATGTCAGCTAGAGATGCTGCTATGAAAACTTTGTATGTGATGGCTTTGGTTTCCTTTTTAGTATCACCTGTTTGCTTAAGGTTCACAGAATATATAATAAGAGGTTTAAGGCAACATTAAAGAGTATTTTATATGCTTACCAAAGAACACTGGGATAACTTTATAGCTGAATAATGAGCATTGACTATTTAAGATGAGATTAGAAAAGCTCTAGGTAAGCAGAGTTAGGGATGAAATCGGTTCATGAGAAGTTATATACTGTACAAGTTTCCAATTTCATGTGAATAAAAAGGGACAGAGAGCACTTAATGTGTGAGAGATTTATCCTTGGATGGAAAATAAGGATGCTCCAAAGATTAAATAAAATGAGAAAACTACATCATAAACAGGTATTGCTGTAAATATGTTTGTATGTGTGTGTATGCAGATACTCATGCATATGAAATATAATTGAAAAGATGGGGAAAAAATTAAACACCGAAAACTTTTGTACAATTGTCACAACTTATGACTGTGATGGACAGGCTTCATTACCATCGTAAATTGAAGATTATCTATATACAGATTTACCTTACTTTTTGTGTCTAGTGCTTCACCTAAAACCAAATTACCCATCCTTAACTTGGGGGAAATTGGTTAGCTCAAGAGGAAATTGGACATTGTAGTTAGTAGTATCTCTTTTTTTCTTCTCCTTCAGAAACTATCTACCGGACACAGAGATGAATATGATTCTCTGGCAGTAAAAAAAACAGAAACAGATCTTGAAATGGCTGTGGAAAACCAGGTATCTTCACCATCTTTTCTGTGCAGTGAGTTGCCACAAAACATGTAGGCATAGCTTGGTGGAGGAAGCACAAGACCATGACCCCCTTGTGCTTTAAGGAATGAATAGTATCAATCTACAACTGATTTCTCTGATGGTTATGACAGAGTTGTGCAATGGATGTTGATGCAAGTGCTCTGTCAGCTCTCCCACTATGATATAACTCAGTGGTTCTCAACCTTTCTAATGCCGTGACCCCATAATACAGTTCCCCGTGTTGTGGTGACCCCCAGGGGTGTGGCCAAGTGGGTGTGGCCACCAATAAGAAGGAGTAGGACAGCTAGGGAAAAGGGAAAAAAATGGCGGACAGCGTGGTTTGGCAACCCCCGTGAAATGGTCGTTCGACCCCAAATGGGGTCCTGACCCACAGGTTGAGAACCACTGATATAACTGCTCTGTCAGCTCTCCCACCATGCCTTCTCTTTTGTCTTCAGATTTGGTATATATAAGAATGATTAGGAGAATTTTTCTTTCTTTCTAGCGCAGAAGAAAGAAACCTCAGGACAAAGTTTACACTGTGAGTAGATCCAAGAACCGACTGTTATTATAATTTACTTAAATCATCCACCACAGCATTTTGAAAGGATATGTGTGAGTGTGTGTTTGGAAAGAAGTTGTTTTCATATGCAACCTTTTCCAGAGTTTTGTGAATAAGATTTTGGAAAAAAAAATTATCTATGTTGGGATGTAACACAACTACTTCTTCACATGATGCAGAAAGGAATATAACTAAATAAAAATCAACCAGTCTATTTTTTATGTGTTTATGAGTCTCAAGATACTCAAGATTGCCCCCATTTTGCCTTTCTTTTCCTTTAATAGGAAAGAAAGTTGTCAGGTTTTCAAGCTTCTGTTACTGAAGATTTAGAATTCTAGTTTTTTTTTTCTGGATTGGTTTTTTTACCTGACCTACCTGAAAGGATTAAGTTAGAGCAGGAACAGCTGTTAGTAGTCATCCTTCTCTGGACTTCGGGAGATGTTTATCAGATTATTGATCAGCTTTTTTGTGGACATTTTGCTGTCTATATCAGAGGAATCTAACTTCTATGTTGTAAAATAAACTATTGAGCATGTATAGGAAACCTGGGCTTCCTCTATTGCAACAAATCTTGTGTTTATAGTTTGACCAAATCCCAGATTGGGGAAAAATATGGGGAATGGTTGCTTTCCAAATAGCATTGCTCTCAAATCTGCATAAATAGTGCCTGAGATAATGATTGACAAAGAAAAAGCAATGGAGAGTAAATGTTTTGCTAGAATAGCAGCCATAAACACATTTTTGGAAATATCTTTCTGACAATTTGGGCTGGGAAGAGCAAGGACATACTGGCCAGAGTGAAAAGATTAATCAAATACATCAGAAACTATAAGAAAAGGCATTAGAGAAAATTAAGATTTTTCTTAATTTTCTTTTCACTAATACTGTTTTATGGTTTTCCATGGCTAGTCCCTACAGCGGGATAAGATGGGTGAAGCATACAGTGAAATTGGAAAGAAAGGAGAGGTAAGTGACATTTTCTATCATTTTGGATGCACAAAAGGTAGCTGCATCCATCAATTTGTCATTGCTGACTCTAGGCAGGATTGCACTTCTCTGGATGAGTGGGTACTTCAAGGTTTGTCCATATTATACCTTTGTTGCATGAGTTGCCCTGGCTCCATTTCTTCCAGATACTGGTTATTACTTTTAATATCTTACATGGGATGGGACGGCCTGTCCCTGGGGGTTTCTGCCTATCAGGTAGGAAGATACGTCCAGTTTCCTTCCCTGAATTGTTGCCATTTTAATACAGGGGTTCTCAACCTTGGCAACTTTAAGACTTGTGGACTTCAACTCCCAGAATTCCTCAGCCAGTTAAAGTCTTAAAGTTGCCAAGGTTGAGAACCCCTGATCTAGTAGGATCTCTGAAGCGTGCCTTTTCTGGCAGGCCCCTGCTAGTTTAGCCTTCTGGGCTTCATACCCAGTCGTTGGGGTAGAATGTGGTTGCTCTAAATTGGTTGTTTGGAGTATCCCAAGATGAGTGAGGTGCTGGCTTTTGGTTATGTTTTATGGTTTTCATAATTCAGGGTTTTACTATTGTTGTGAGCCATCCAGAATTGTATTTTAAAATGGGCATCTATACAAATCTTATACTTGCATTTCTACTCAAGCTTTCCCAGTCCTATCCTTGAAGCCAGCGGTCCCCAAACTTTCTGGCTCTGGGACCAGCAGCAGTGGGGGTAGAAGAGACGGTTTTGCACATGTGCGCACCATTTGCACAAATGAAGCTTCACGTGCTCACACACTTGCCCCATGCATGCGTGGCCCAATTCCCAAAGGGCCATGGTTGGTACCGGGCTGTGGACCCGGGGTTGGGGCCTCCTATTTTAAGCTGCATTGAACTACAGTTGCATAATGCAGAATAATGACAGTATTAATTCAATACATTTGAAAGTACCAGCTAGGGAGAAGCTGTCTTATCAGTATAAACTTATCTACAATAGACGTGCAAAACAGAAGACAAATTTGTAGTTAGTGTTTTCTGATTATAATTTTTTCATAGTATCTCTGTCAGTTGGGTAAAATTGTGAAGAAGAATCACAAAAATGTTGCCCTTGATGGAACAGGCTAATACCGGGGAGTCCACAATTTATGACTATAATTAGAGCTAGAATTTCCATTTAAGTGATGTGGTCATTAAGAGAATCACACTTGACTTTACAATCTTTTTACCATAGTTGTTAAGCGAATCATGTGAACATTAAGCAAATGTGGCTTTGTCCATTAACTGCTTATCAAAACTCACTGGGAAGGTTGCAAATGGCAATCATGTGACCCTGAATGCTGCAAACATCATAAATACATGCTGGTTGTGTGAACAATTATACCACAGAAGAGTTCAGTTAGCTACAGTATTTTTATTGCTCATGCCTATAATACAATTCATAGACTGGTGGTTTGTACCTGGGCTAGACAAGGTTTAATGACATTCAAAGGGGAAGGGTCTGATCTTGCTCTCCTGTGCCTATGTAGAGATTCCAGACTAATTCCCCACTTGACTTCTCCCTTGAAGTCTATTAATCCTGGCCTTTTTTTTTCTAGAGACATTGTGGCAAAGGCAATGATATTCTTTATCAGGTAAGATAACAACAGAACCCCTCCCTGTAATTTCTTTAACTCTTAATTCACTGAGATCTGTCTAAAGCAATTTATCCACTGTTCTTATTCGCCCCTTCATTCTCTGAATACTTTTGGTCCTATTGCCTGCCTATGCTTGCAAGAAAGATGGACAAGGGAAGATGATTAGGAAGTAGTTGGATTCTTTTCTTCTTACGAATGTTGCTGTCAGACCTTAGATTTAGTACCCTTGCTAAAGGCAACACTGAATCTGAATCTATGGTTAATAAAGTCTAATTATTTGTTTTCTAATCATATATTTTCTCTTTTATCAGGGCCTCAGCCAAGCAACAAAGGACACATACAATGTCCTTCAAATGAAGCCAATGCATTCTCATTAGTTACAACTGGAAGGAGGAAAAAACATTCCTTATGGTGGAATGGTAGCAACTAAAGAGGACAGTTCATTTCAGCAAAGCCATTGCCTTGTTTGAAGAATGCTATTGTACAGTCAGCAAAACCCATATTTCCAAATAACATCCTAGGTTTTTTTAAAAAAAATGTACATATGTTTAAAGATTCTGCTTAATGTATAGTTGCTCATGTTTAGGAGCAGAAGTTGAGACTGCTATTCACTGCGTAGTTAAATAAGAAAAACTATTTTTCTTCCTTAGGTGAAAGATAACCAACATATTTTCTTTCCCTATAGATGTTTTGTAAGGTATTTTTAATTGAAGATAGCTGGGGAACTTTTGGGGGAAAGGGGAGGGGAAGAGAATATAGTCTGGAACCTTTTATCACTCTCCAGGAATTTGGATTACTGTACAATCTATCAGTCATACCAGCAAGGCTGGTGGCAAAGGATGACAAAAATTGTCATTTTTTTAAAATTGATAACTCTCAAATCATTAAATAGTTCAGAACTTAACCGAAGGTAGATATCTTTTTATATTGAAGATGATGGTACTTTGAATTGCAGTGTATGAGAAAATAGAAAGTTCTGTTCATGAGCTTGGATCATTATCCACAAAATGTAATTTTCTTTAGCATCAAAAATAGCCTTTACTATTACCGGCGTATAAGACGACTTCCGTATATGCCGGCGTATAAGACGACTTCCATGAGTGCTGAAATCTGCGCCAAAGACAGGGATCGTCTTATACACCGGAAATACTGGTAGTTTCTGGCGTATAAGATGACGTTCTAGGAATGCGGCCCGGCTATAAAGACGGGGGTTGTCTTATACGCCGGGTCGCCTAATACGCCGGCATATACAGTATGTTTGGATGAAGTCTGCAAGTAAAATAAAACAAAAACAAAAAAACTGGACACAGAACTAGCCCATTTAATAAAGCAACAAAACTAGTTTTGGCTTAGAACTACTGTACTTCTGTCAAAGAACAAAAGTCTTACTTTTGAATAGTTAAAATATATTGGATGTCACTAAACAGTAATCATAAAAATACTCTTGTGCTATGAAGAAGTGGACCAGTACAGTTTATGCCTGTCTTTGCATGATTAAAATAATGGATAAGTATATTGTCTGTTGCTTCATTATGTACATTGTTCCTAGTGACTACATATCTCATACTTCAACCCATATTAACTACAGTGAATACAAAAACTTACAACTTGACCAGACATCATTAACAAGCTTTCTTTTGATTACTACTGATCACATTTTAAGAAGGTTAATAAAATTGTGAACTATAGTTAAGGTCTGCAAGAAGGAAAGCAGGGAATTTGCCTGGGAGGCTGCACCCTTTTATCATCTTCAGCTGAGTGCCTGCCTACCTTTGGAATGTGTGGGTACAATTTGAATGTGGAGATTATATCTTGAACACCATGACAAAATGGGTGCTGATAGGCTTTCCATTTACAGTGTAGAGTGGTATATCTGAACTGCAAAAAATGGAACACTAGAACAGACATGTCAAACTCACGACATCACATGATGTTGCGCAACATACCGGAGCTTTTTTGCCATTGCTGGCAATGGGATGGGCGCGGCTCCGGTATGATGAAATCGGCCCGCAGGCTGGCAGTTTGACACCCCTGCACTAGAAGGAGCAGATACAAAAACCCCGTCTTCCTGCCATCTACTGGTTGATCAGCTGCCATATATAGGATGACCTATATAATATATATAATATTCCTAAACAAATGGCAGCCCTGGACAACTTAGCAATAATGCTAGGGCTACCAGATTTGGACTGCAAAAAACAGATCACTAGATGGCAGGAAAGAGCTAGGAGAAAGCTAACTATTGGTCAAGCCTACAAAATTTTACTGTACCTGCAATGCTTCTATCCTCTATAGAATACTATTACCTGTACTTACCTTTTTTTTCTGGGCAGGTGAGTGCTTGTCCAAATAAAACACTGGTATGCAGTAGCTGACCATTACTTCTATTTTTTAAAAAAGTTTATAGAATGCATGTAGGTTTCAAGTAATTCTAAAAAATAAAGATGCTGCAGATTGATATTATGCAGCATGCTAGTGTTAAAATCAACATAATTTTTGAATGATTAAATAAGTCAAATGGAATAGGAACTTTGGGGAACATGAAACATGGAGTCATTTAAAAGTCTCAAAACCACACTGGGCCACAAGCTTTAAAACAGAAATGCTTGCACAGAAGTTACATCATGTCAAATTTAGTTCCCAAATAAAGCAAAGTTTTTATTAAAGACACAGACCAGAATAACATTACAATAGTAGTGAAATAAAAAATAAAACTGGGTTACAGATCATTAAGAGAAATGAGAGTCTAAGTAAAATTAGGGACAATTAGGACTGGGAGTAAACCCACTGCAAACATTTAAATTCCCTGGAGTATCTGTTTTATGTTTACCTGCCTCATTTCGCCCTAGGATTTGAGTCAAGATTGAATTCATCTCTATATCATGTACAGAAAATGCAACAAAACTTTAAAAAGATGCTTTGTAAAAGGGGCAATAAATCCAGCAAAGCTTCATTGAAGGTAAGCAAAAAACTCATACTTGAGAATACTACTCTGTAGCCATGCTCTGGGAGTGCTATGTAATCTGCCCACTATTAGGTGGAACTGAGATGTCCAGTCAAAGAATTGGGAGTTGGCAGCTGGAATTCTGATCACAGCAGTTTTTATATTTTCCCTCTTCAATGTTAAATGGAGAAAGGCCTAATGCTGTGAAAGATTGAGGGCAATAGAAGGGGACGACAGAGAATGAGATGGCTGGAGTCACTGAAGCAGTAGGTGTGAGTTTAAATGGACTCCAGAAGATGGTAGAGGACAGGAAGGCCTGGAGAAACTCTGTCCATGGGGTCACGATGGGTCGGACATGACTTCGCAACTAACAACAACAACGTTAAATGTGTATGTATATTATCAAATTCAAAAGACTCAGGGATATGGCAAATTCTGGACTGTGGTACTGGACATTTAGAGGGCAATCCTTAAGTTCAAAAAGTTTGAAAATACTACGTTACTGAATTAACTCAATCTCCTGTAAAGGCTAGCAGCTGATGTTTATTCAATCCATCTAATGCTACAAAAATTTTATACCAGACATTCTAATGTATTTAATAACATTTTAAAAAACATATATCACAAATACTTCTCTATAAGGAAATCAAAAGATGATATATCTGAAATAATCTTAAACAAATTAATTGCCAGTTCGAAGTTGGGTGTTTAAAAACATAAAAGGCAACAATTTAAAAAAGTTATGTGCAACTGTGTATATGGGTACATAGATATAAAATGTATCTTCATCCTCTTTCTTATGAATAGCTTACTCTGTCTTGATATCCTTTGATCATGGATTAGCTGCTATTAAAAGCTAGGAAAGACAGGAGTTGTAGTCCAGTATATCTAGAGGATATCAGGTTGAGAAAGGCTACTTTGAACAGTGAAAAAAACTGAGTTGTATACATTCAGCTCAGAGTGGAAAACCACTGTAAAACATAATCAGTTATCAAATGATCAGGAATACCATTATGATTTTAGATCAGGCATGTCAAACTGCCGGCTCACAGGCCAGATGCATCACGCCGAAACCGTGCCCATCCCATTGCCGGCAATGGGGAAAAAGTCACGATACATCACGTGACATTGCGAGTTTGACATGCCTGTTTTAGATTATAACGCAAACAAGAGAAAAGCTTACCTATTTTTGCTTTCCCATGAGGAAAAAAAACAACAGTTGGCAGAAAATAAGATCAATTTAAGATAGTAGAAAACTTAGATATTGGCATTTCATTTTGTCTCTAGTACTTGTTTAAAAACCACAAACACGCACATAATTGTTAAAACACTTGGAAAAATGGTTTAATGACGTTTACAACAGAAATGAACTGTACAGTTACAGTAAGTCTCATATATATAAAAATTACAGCAGACAAATGCATGTACACAAAACCTACCATTTTTATCCTGATTCACTGTAATCAACAGTTTCTCAATGCCCACAAGCCACCTGCAGGCAGCCACTAGGGGGAAAACAGAAGATATCTTTAAGAGACAGCATTCTTTTGATCTCCCTCAGGATAGGGATCTCAGACTGACCATAAGCAAGAATGAATGTTGTACGATATGTAAACAACTCTTTTAAGTTGACGTACATTCCAAATTAAATTATACAAACGATCATTTAAAAAAAGAATCAGCAGAAAAAAAAATCTATTGATCAATGTACATGAAGCTGTGTAGTCCACAAAAATTACATACTAGGTTTTGCAAGAGGAAGGGCAATAAACATTTTTCTAAGCCATGCGTCCATTGATTGCCTTAGAGCAAAATAATTCTCTTGTAACAAAAAGAAAAAAGTTATGACATCAGAACCATGGATTACCCTTTAGTGAACGGCTTTACCTGGCTTCTTATCTCACCTTTGGATATGAATGGACGATGCCTTCTGAGTAGGGCAAAGGTTCAATTTTATACATATAAGCATGCTGTCTCTTTAAAAAAAATCTCTCTGTTCAGAATGGCAATAAGAGAAAATGCAATCTAAATTGACAATCCGATGGAAATTACAGATTATGTACATTTTTCCTCAATTATGAACACCTAGGCAGTGAAAACTATTGTGTTAATACATACATAGACACACCCAAAACATACAAAAATACTATTATTTCAAACTACTAAGAATAAGACAATCAATTATCTCCATGCTATGACTTTAAGAGCATTACACAGAAACAAACAAGAATTTAAACACATTTTTAATATCCCAGAAATATACCAAAATATACATCTAAGCTTTGGAATTACTGAGGTTAGACTAATGCAAGTGCTGGGTAATTGTACTTAATACACAAGTCTAAGGTTCTGCAGGAAAGAAATTATCTTTGGTATCTGCATCAGGCTAATATTATTAACATTTGGATTTTGCTTTGGGATAGAGCTTGTATGATCCTAGAACCAAACACCCCTACTTAACTGAGATTTAAAAGATTTGTGTAAAAAGTTCCTTCGTTGGCAACCCCCCTCCCCCAAAGTTTAAAAAGTCATAGACATCTACCTAGCAAAAATGTTGAGAAATACAATGCATAGTTGCACAGTGGTGCTGCAAAAATAATGAACAAACAACAAAAAGGAAAAAGCAGAAAAGAAGAAAAAAAAATTTTTTTTTCAGATATTTCTCACAATAGGACACCTCTTCCAAGCAGTGGCGGGGGGAAGCTCAGAAGTGCACCCTAGCATGTATCAATCAATTTATCACCCAGCTCACAAAGGGTTAAAAGTACCCACCAGAGCAGCCAATCATGCACCAAGGATTTCAGCTTCACAACCAATATATAAAGCTCCATCACATTTCTCCAAGCTTTTCTCCACGCCCCTTGGATTTGTAATCTTGTAAGAGTACTTTGCATCCCAAACAGAGTGGGAGAAAAGTTACCTTGCTGACCAAATCCACATTATCTTAGATCAAGCCATCTACTGCATTTTGGACTGGAAGGCAAAAGCCACTTTGGGATTCATCTCTTGCACACCCAGAAAAGATGGCTTCCCGAATTTGATTGGTGCTGAAGATGCCCTTTGTCTTTGGTTTGTTTGTTTGTTTTGAGTTTATACAATCATTAGGAAATCTTTGGTTTTGGCTGGAATTTTTTAAAAGAACAAAACAAAACAAAGAAACCGCCCCCCTCAGCATATAGCAGGGTACCGTGACCTGGCAAAACGTCCCTTTCTAAAGGCATGGGGAAAAGTACATTCAAACTAAAATGGTAGAAAGAGCATAGATAAAGCTTTTGGTTAACCCAGAGGGAAGAGGTGGCAAATAAACAAGATTGTCAAATAATAAAAGGACATGTTTTAGAAAAGGAGTGACAGTCAAAGACAACAGGATAAAAGGTAGAAAGTGGTATGTATGCACACAAGTTGGCCCTGGCTTGATCCTGGAAAACAAGAGCCCTGTCATCTCGCCAGGAGGTGGCAGAAGGCAGCATTCAGATTTCATGCACAAGCTGGGAAAGAGATGGTTATTCAAAGACTACAAGATGACCCCCAGTAACCAAAACAAATAAAAGATTGCAATTTGCCCTCAGTTTGCAGTAGCTTTTAAGCAGCAACGTTCAGAGGCTTTGGGGGATCTGTCCCCAGGTTACAGGTCACGGTTTGCTATAGGCCAGAGTTCAATGCTAATTAAAGGAAGGGTGGCAGACTTGGCAACTCTGTAGGGTTTGGAGAAAGTTAAAGCAAGTCACTCGGTTACGAGTTAGAAATGAGGTATACGACAGCTCCTGTACCTGTGGCGGATAAATATCCGACACCTATTCATACCTAGCTTAGATACTATTACAGAAAAAGGAAATGGAACATCAACATGGTAGGATCAAGGAGTGAAAATGTCTCATCATGCTCTAAAAGATTCTTGTACCCGATCTTTTGCCTTGTGGATTTTAGAGAAAAGTGCAAGTCTTCTCCAACGAGTTTTAAGTAAGTAGAGTTATCTATGCACTGCCATATCGATATCTATGGTATGTTTTCTTTGCAGTTCAGAGAAACTGAATCTTAAGCCTTAAAATCATAATAAGGATTATACAGGGCAAACAATGGCTTCCTGCCCCACAATAATGCCCTTTACAAACCTACTGAAAAAGTAGCTTTGCTTGATGTATATCTTAATTAAATGCAGACTTATACATTCCAACATATATCAAATAACTTATAGTATTCTTATGACCAGCACCATCAGTGCTGAAAACTTTCTGGTATATCAAATAAAATTAGAAATTATTCGGAAAACTTATTTTAATGGGTTTTACCCAGTGAAAAAGCAGTATTATTTTTGGTGTCAGAAGAAGATTGCGACAATGAACATTGGAGGAAGAGTTCACAACAGACTTTAAGTCAATATTTTGGCTTCAGCAAACAAAGATTAGAAATAAGGCAGAAGAGAATCATTGCAGTTCTCTCCATTAAGAATTTTTCTTTCAAGATCCCACCTACCGTTTCATTTCCTTCCTCTCTTGTTTTCAACATCTTTTGTTCCAAGTGCTCTTATCTTTGAACGTATTTTCCTATTTTCTACCTATAAATCTAACTAGTTTAGGAAAATCACACAATATTAATACTACTTTACATAAAGTCAGAACACCAAATCTATTATTAAAGCTTTCAGTGAGGTTATGCATTCTAGCTGATTTACAAAGTAAGAAATGGACAATCCATATATAATTACACAACTGCTTTCTTTATAGAAGCGTACGTAGAACTTGATTATTGCAGTTAATCAAGCCACAGCACATCATGTGAGAATATGGAAAGCTCTTTTGGTGAGTAAAAAAACCCCAGTTATCTCCAACATTTCCATTATGTAAAGAAAAAGACATCACCCAGTATATCTGAACTGTGCCAGAAGATGATGCATTTTTTTAATATTTCAGGTTTCCCTGTTTCCAAATAATAGCTTATGACCTTGGCTTTTGTTTTAATCAGTTCTTGATTCCAATATGTCCTCAATGAAATCAGCCAAATTAAGCCCATTTGTACAAGAAAAACCACTATAAATTATGTCTTCAAAGAAAAAAGCTATCAATATAAACTTCTAAGACCACCTTTTTTTTAATCTTAAGACACTCTGAAAACAGGAAAGTTGGCAAAGATTTACCAGTGCCTTTAAGCATAAAAGCCATTGGAAATTCTCCCCTCCAGTCAGTCTAAGTCCCTCATTCTCAAATAATATGCCAGCAACAAATACACATACACACTAATATTATTCTAAAGAATACGTTAGAATAAGGATGGAATAGACAAATCTAAAGAATTCAGTCTTCAAACCAAAATATGCATTCTTTGCAAAAAATGACCCAGCCTCTCAGCAAAATTATAACAAGAATAATCATCTATTCAGTAAGAAATCCTTTTTCCCAAGGATTATCGTACAAGATCATCTCCCCCCCCCTGTACACTATATTTAAGTGTTAAGAGGAGATTAGTGTTTAGTTTGGTTTATCTTCTGCAATTTTTGGTCTAGAAAAGGTTAACATTGTCACTTTAAAAATTATTTAAAAAGTATTTATTATTAAGCACTACAATCAATGGCAAAATGGGTGGGAATAAAAGCAACCATTTTACAATAACTTTCTGATTTGATTTAGATGGAAATCTTCTACTCCCACCCCCAAGTTAAACATCTTGGCTTAAGAGCAGCCCTAGTGCAACTACACAGGTTGAAATGGATTGATCATTTTATTTCTGTGTGTACAAATAACACAATATAGCAAGTCAAATTGGTAACCTATATACTGTCGTTTGATATACTGAATATTATTAATAATCAAAGAATCCCAGATTCAGGAGTAAGAGTCTGCTTCCTTTGGCAAGATAAAATTAAAAAAGAGAAAGAATGAAGTTGTAAGCAACACTTGCCTTCTAGTAGGAGTGTACTTGCTATTCAAGTGTAAAACTTGTTAAAACTTCCAATTTTGAATCAGTTACTGGCTGAATCAGTCTGAATGTTTTGCAAGTATTTCAACCCTGAAAGGGAGCTATTTGAACGTGAAGCACTGTTTCAACCCTGAAGAATTTCCAAAACATTTGGGCCTTTTGTAGTCAGAACAGTGTCATGAAGTTTCACACTTGAAACAGTTCGAAATGTTTTTTATACTCCTACCTTCTAAGCATAGTCAACATAATCTGCTTCTTCCCAACACCATCCCTGTAAAACACAGATTTCCAAATACATATACACTGGGTTTCCAGACGTTTAACTAAACTCTACCACTACAGTTACTTCCACTATTTATAAAGATGCTCTCTCCTGATTTTTCAGTCTGCAAACAATACTAAAGCTATGCTGAGGTATCTTTTTAAAGGTGCCAGAAAACCAGCTGCTACCAAAGGCATTGTTTCTACAATCCTATAACATTGCCTGCTTTAAAAACAAGAGATGAGAAGGGACAGAGTGATATTCCGAATTATTTCAGTCAAAATGTCTTCATTTTACTCCCCTGGGGAGAAAATATATAGCAAACATACTAACCTTCAGTTCAACAACACAGATTTGCACAGAAGTCAGAATGTGCAAGGAGACGTCTACAAATATAGCAAAAGTTAAACATCTTAAAATAGTTTTCCTTCTCAATAATAAAGCTACATTAGTTCCAGTGTGAATTAAAGGTCATTGTAATTTGCCTTAAGAGCAAATCTCTGTGCATGCAGTAGAAATGCAGGTTGTGTTCCCAGAGCAAAGATAAGCGTTCACTGCATATTTATGTCATAGTTTCCTAAATGGGAGATAGTATTTCATATAGGAAAAATCTAAATATGTGAAATAGCTTCATATTCTTAAATAAGGGAATAAAAGTCTGGCATGGGCTATTAACAATTAACCAGAATTAAAAGTTGAGCTTTCTATTTACAGTATACACTGTAATTTGGACAGGGAGTGGGAAATGAATCAAAGATTGATTTGATTTCAGATTTTCATTAACAGTTGATTTAGATGTCTTTCTGTGTCATGAAAATAGAAATTTGTTTTTATTGCATGGTGTGTGTTTAAAATGGTCTAATAGAAATATGGAATACAATGAAAATTTCATTTTAGACCCAATATGACTTCAGGAATTTGAAAGCAATAGCAAAAAATAAGCGGACAATTAAAAAAACCCCATTAAAACATGTTAAAAACCAATAATAGTCATAATAAAGTAAGAAGAATTCAAGAAAACAATGAATTGGCACTAATTACAATTGTGTTTCTTCTTTTCTTGCCATTAACAAAGGAACTCAAATCCAACTTAAATACTCAGGGATATGATTTAACTTTTCCCACTTAATCATCTGAAATGTTGACAAGTTAAATTTGGCCCCAATGCTGCACAGAACAAGAATTATGCAGTTGAATTTTTAAAATAATGTATTGCTTTAAGAATACTAGAACGTAGCTTTACGTAATTGGCCAACGTACCCTAAGGTCACAGACAACTTTTATCAACAGATTTTACTTCTGGTAGTGTTTACTCTATGATCACTTTTTCCTATATACATTTATGAACGTTTAAATCCTTGTAGGATTTATATACTAAAAAGTACAGATAGGGATATACAGATTAAGTATAAACATTTCAAATGTTTGAGATAAAACTGGAAAGAGTCAGGTCAAGGATATTCTTTTACGGCATTTTTTAAGTCCATCAATAGTGTAAGAATCATATTATTGAGAATTGGAATTTAATGCTAACATTATTATTTTAAGCAAATGTAACTGAAAAATGCCCTTACTAGCATGGTTTATTATTCATTTTATGTAACAAAATAGAAAAAAGTCATGTATTTAGTTTTGCACTACCAATATAGTTGGGTAGCTCCAAAAGCAAGATGGCCAGATCAAACCCCCTCAGTTTGCCAAATGATAACTAGTCAGAAATGGATTTTACATATTTATTATGCAAAATCTCTCAGTGTTTGAAGTCACAAGGGGAACTGCATTATTTTCATGTGAATCCACTGCTAAATTAAAAGAGGATTTCCTAAAGCAAGACCTCAACAATATTTTTCAGAACTCACCATTTACAAGCTTCATTTTTTATGCAAAAATGATTCTAGAAATATATGCTTTGCTTACTACTTTGTTCCCCGTAACATTTCATTTGACTCAAATTCCATCTTTCAGTAGTCTTAGTAAAACAGGATCCTGTTCCACACACCCCCCCTACCAAATGCCAAACATAGTTTTAGAGTCTGTCCACTGCTGGCTGCACACCCACTGGCAAAATTTTTATAATTTCTATAATTTTGGCTTGAAAAATTGGCATATTGGCAATATTTTTTCTCTCTCAAATATATGTTTAATTATATCTTGCTGTCAGAATTAAACTAAATAAAAATATTGCCAATCAAAGTGATAGTGAATTAAATACAGTTTATATGTTTTAACAAAGAACCAGTTTACATTTTTCTAGATTCTTGTTTGCTGTAAAATATCAATCAGGATAGACATAAAAAATAAAGAGTCCAGATAAAAATGACTATCTGAGTAAATTTTCCACACATCATACACAAGTGAAAAGAAAAGTTAAGGAGAATAAGGCAACGATGGATTTTAAGCCTGGTGTCTAGCATTGGAAATTCTGGAATTCCTCTGCTCTTCCTTATATCTTCAAATGACATATACCATCTTTGGCTGAATTATCTAGTATATAGATAAAATTTACATTTATTGTAATGCAATTTAATGCATTCTACCAAGTCAGGGTACAACATTATTTCCTCCGGCAACTGAAACTGAAAAAGTGGATCCAACCTTCAGGATTTCAGTGTTTCTCAGCAGCAAAGAAAGACTGTTATATTTCTCTCCCTCACCTGAACCCTCATTCACTACATTAAAATTCTCTAAAGTATGGTCTCCTCCACAAAGTATGCATGCATCCTTGGGTCAGCATGTATTGTTTCTAAGGGACTGGATCTGATCTCTGTTGCTAGTAATAAGATGTAGCTTGGGATTGCACTTTCCTCTAAAGGAATTCTTCCTATCCATCTTGCCTTTTTATATTGCCACATCATGTTGCCTAAAGTTAACATGAACGTGACCCACTCTCTTAATGGTTACTTAGATTCTGGGAGTATTAATTGATCACTGTATTATTTCCAACCTTCTGTAGGCATCAAATAAAACTACTGAACATACAGACCTGTATATGGAGTAGATAGAGAAATGGCAAATAGTTCCTATAGAGAGTACAGTATCCCAGTGCTGTCATATCTGAGATATATAATCCATATTTCATATATAGTCAGTCTACAGATCCTAGGTATCAGTATTCAAGAGAAACATCTCAATGTCGCTAAAACAAGCTGAACAATAATAGGCGCTCATTCCCTGTGTTATTTGAACAGTTCAACAAAGGGACCTGTTGGCTTGATTTCTCGTGCTTTGAAGCATTAAGCTACAAATGACCAGAGATTCAATATTATATATTGCCAGATGATGTTTACAATAAAACATGAACTAGTAATAACTTAGCTGATATTATGTTTTCTGGAGATCTAGCTCTTCAATTTGAACTATGTAAGTCAATGTGGGTTGAGCTACTTACTGCAGGTGGCCTAGAAGACATTCTTGAACCAACAGGCTATCTGAACAATTTATTGGCATGGCTGTAATAGTTGTGTTTCAATACAATGGCTATTTATGTAGATAGATTTATACATTTCCAAAGGAAAGGGAAAAAAGGAAAAAAGTCTACATTTAATAGCCTTACATAAAGTTCAAGCCCTGAACAAAAAGGAGCCATAATATGTCAGAAAAGCATGAATGTTATGCTCTTCAAAAGTGAACTGTTAAAAAAATATTCATATGATGCTTGTTGCATATATGAACACTGTACATGAAATCCATAATGTATAAACTGGTAGCACATGATCAAAAGGAAAAATGGAAAGCTAATTTTGAAATTCTAAACTTCATAGGTTTAATGTTTTCAACACCTGCTATACGTTTGTAGAAGAACAATTTTCTTACTACAGAAAGTATTTACAATGACTGTAAATGCTCACAAGCTAGATCAACCTCAGACTGCTTTCTTAAAATATTTGTCAAGAGATTCGTTTTCTCAAAATGTCGTTCTTTTTATACCTTTAACATTCTGGCATTTTAGCTTCATTACACGTAATCAAAAGTTTTCCCCTGATTTGAAAGGAATGCAGCTTGTTCAATTTTCAGAAATTATCTGCAGCTACAAAGACTGAAGAAACTAGGATAAAAATCTATCTGTTTCACCACGAATCAACAATAAATTTCTGTGGCAATCATTTCTAATCTGAAATTCATCAAATGCACTGGACTGAAATCCCCACTTTCCCCAACCAGTATAATTTCTGTATTGAGGCAAAGGGAAAGGTGATCCAATTCTCTGAAGAATAACAGATAAAAGAAGATTAATGTAAAGTAAGGTAATAAGGTCCCAGAACAACATTGCAAATTCTGGTTTATAAAATTGTATTTCATTGAATTGATGAATAGGACAACAAAATAACCTAGCTATGAAATGGAAACAGTCTCATATTTTAGAACACTGAGAGATTGGAACACAATTAACTCAGGTAATTAACTCAAGTGATAGAATAAGTGATCATCTCTAGTTATTAGAGAATATGTATACAGTGAACATATTTTTGAGTGCATAAACTGCGTTTGTAGTGACTATCTGAAAGTTGTCACAACTTCTAGAATATGTTTGTGTTTTCTGGACCTCCATACTGTTTATTCCTACATGTTCTCTAATTATACACATCTGATATTCTGCTGAAGTTTTAAATCAATTGTAACTTTTACAATATTATGGAAGCTTACAATTATTTTAGACTGTGCAATAATGTTTATATGTTAATTTATGGAGCATGCATATTACTGAGTAGAATAGGTGGCAAAATAATAGTGATAACCATTAAAACTCCAGTATTTTGTATTATTGGAAATTTTAAGTAATCTCTTGATAACTCATCAAATACATAACCGAAACACTTAAATTAAACATAAACCTTACAATTCAACCAAACAACTGTTGATTTGTCTGTTTCTCAATTTCCAGTTTCTCTGACATAAGACTTATAAAACCTCTTAGATGTGTAGCTATTTGTACGACATAGGGAAGAGTGGAAAGGTCTAAAAAAAAGTTTATAAATAAGTTCATATAATGCATGTTGGATTCATGCATTATATGAGCAAATTAAAATAGTTATGTTTTATAGCAATCATCTGAGCTAATTAGAATTCTGAGTATCTCTATACCTTCACACCTAACAAAAAATAGTGAACCTAATCAACTGCAGGCAGACAAACCAAATTAATTTCCCTGAATTTTCTCAAAAATGTTTATGATGATAAAATGGATATTTTTTTGTTTTTTGGTTCATTAAATCCATAGGACCTTTACCTTGAAGCCTATGGATGAGCAAACACAATCAAAAGTCACCTTCTTTGCTTTTAGAATTATATGTGGGTTTGTGCGTGTATAAAAAAGCAAAACCTTTTTTCAATGGACAAAATAAACATTTACTGGACCAATATTTCCTTTGGTAGAAATTAGTCAATATAATGGCCTACAGGCAAGCATCTTGAATATTCTCCTGTCTTCTTACTTTAACTGCACTATGCTGTTGCTATAAGTCAATTAAATCTTTGACACAAAATATTATAATTGAGACTAGAATTATGGTGATAGCATATCCTAGGATTTATACTGATCCAAACTGCTATGGAGAATGCAGAATCAGCTAAATTAGTAAGCATTTGCCATTGTCATTCTATTTACCCACCCCAAACCATGGAAATTAGAAAATAATCAAGTTAAGACTTTGTCCTAAGGATATACAAAAAGATCAACCTCTTCCCCACCAAAAGATTAAAACAAGCAGCAATTTTTACATAAAATAATAAACAAATGAAAAGAAATTGTCAGTAGCATCTATCACCTCTCTGCATCTGAACTGCACTTATACAAACTAGTCCATTAGTACAGCAGCTTGCTAGAAATTGACTTTGGTTCAAGCTTAGTTTTTAAAAAATAAAACATTAAAAAAAATAAACACACATTAAAGACGGTGGACGGACATTTGCTCATTTCCCTGCTTAACAGTTCACAAGTTTTTTTTTAAAGTTTTAGGAAATAAGTTTCTTATATTTAAATAGCTTGTGAATCAGGAAGTTGAAGATGAACAGAGAGCAGGCAGCATGATAGTAGTGGAGAGGAGACAGATTTCTGCCAGTTGATAGTTAATGCAGATCTGCAAACTGCGGTCACCAGTTGGAGAGGGCAATAGAAATGAACTCTCTTTCTGTTATTAGGTGATCAGAGACAAGATTATATGTGGGGGGGGGCAAGGAATGGATTGCAGCTATGTGAGCTTAAGAACTTCCTCGTCCCTCTTCCCCCTCTTCCAAATATTAATAGAAAGGAACATTGAACAGTTCTAATATTTTCCAATTTGGATCAAAGGGATAGGAAAGTGCCAGCTATGCAGTAGTGATCCAACCTCTTTTTATCTGAGAAAATATGAGTTCAGGTCAATATATCATTTCTGTCTCCTTTCCTCCATCTCTCTCTCTCTCTCATCCATTGTCAGCAGTTGTTTGCACATACTACTTGATGCTTGAGAACAGTTTTTCCCTCTTTAGTAGAGATGTTTACTGCCATAAATGATTTAGCTAGTAGCAAAAAACACAAACAGCATGAAACATTGCAAAATACATGCAACATGCTAGTGCTCATCATATTCCACAGCAAGTTGGCCTGTTTTTTTAATCATCCCTTACCACCAGTTCCCACAGCAGCAAGCAATGGTAAAAACACTACAAATTGTTTACAATGGAACAAGATTACAAGGCTGCTTTTTATGGCTGTGTTGGCATAAATGGTACTTCCTGTTCATGTGACCCAGTTTGCTTCTGGAACAGAAGTGTTTTAAACTCAAAATAATTTTAATACAATCATAAAAGCAAGAGACTCCAGAAAAAAAATATCTAAAGATGAGCCAATGCAGCTTTTTGAAATCCTATGCCAAACAGCTGGTAAGAAGATTTAGTGGATGCATGTGAGTTATCAGCAATATAGGCAGTCTCCTGAGAAAGTAAATAACAGAAATATTTCCAAAGTCGTAAAGTGGCAATTTCCATGCAATTAGGAAATAAGAGAATTGTCAGCACAAAAGTTGAAAAGCCAAATCCTTTCCCCCTTGGATCAACAAGAGCCAAAGACGTGCAAATGAGGGCTAGATTTGGCCAAAAATGATGAACACACTGCTGTATAAACAAAACTCCCACCTCACATGTGTGGACTATCTTCGCACATGAGCCTCAGTATGTTTATTTTAATTGCCAACACTTCTGAGAGAATCTCAGAAAACACTCCACCAAGAAAATTATAAAGGATATTTGTGATTCACATGCTTCCCTCTCTTCTCTCTTCCCTCTGAGTGCATGGGAGCTCACTGAAACTGTTCCAGGAGCAAAGAGAAATGTGTCCAAACTTTCTTCTTCTCTTTATATATAAAAAAATAATAATCATAAAGAGATACACAAGTAATACAGGCCTGCCTAAACTGTACCAGTTAAGAAAGGAATCCCCAACACAATTGATAAGATTATAAACATCTTGTATGACATTATGGCCTGTACAACAGACCAATAAAAGATAATTAAAAAAAGATATTCAGATCAAAAAGAAAAGAAAAAAGAAAACCCATTCCTATGTTTGAGTTGATAACCCACCTTAACTTGTCACTGAGACTGCTGGAAATGATAAGTAGTCCTTTTTTTTTTGTACATTTTTGGTTAGAAAGTTCTCCAATCAATGAAGCAATCCTGAAAAGACAGTGTTTCTTATAAAATTAGGCAATTGTTTGTCCCAGTTTTAAATCCTTCTTTTTCTTGCTGTTTTTTTTCCTGTTTCTAATATTTTTCCTTCTCTCCCTTGTCCCCAGTAAGACGGCAGGAGGAAGCCAATCACAATTTGCAGTTCAGAAGCCCAGCTGACAGCCAAGCTCACTGCAGCATGAAACAGGCTAGGGTTAGCACAGCTCAGCCCAACTCACTGTGCCTTGGAGGCCGTAGTGGTGGTGGAAGCAGCCCCACTGGCTGAAGCTACTGTGAAGAGAGAGTTCTGGATAGATTCTGCTGAGGTGGAGGTGGCATGAAGGCTGGCAACTGGTCCAGAGGCCCCTGCGGAGGCTGCAGCTGCAGAGACCAAACTAACTGGGTTGCTGGTGAGCAGTGAAAGATTCTGAGGGTTCAAGAACAGTGGGGCAGTTACGATGTTGGGTGTACCCCCAGCATTGGCAAATACCAAATTCCCAGTTGCATCCAGAGATGTTATTGGAAGAGAGCCACCAGATGCAAGAGCTAAAAAGAGGAATAATAAATGTCAGCATTAACACAGCCAACTCCCCAAAATACCATAGGCAAACAAAAGGAAAAAAAAAAGAAAGAGCTTCCTTTTTAGGTCTCTTTAACGATTGGAAATTGCAAATTCATTTTCCACTTAAGGAAATTTACAATTTTTACCGCACAGGAAATGCAGATTTGAAGAGTGAACATTCGTTAGATTCATTATGAAAGATCATGAAAATCACAAAATTTTGTATTTCTAAAAACTTGGGATGACTTCCAAAATGGAGGCAAAGAATCCTTAGATTCTAATCAAGTAGCTAGCAGATAATAAACTCTTTTTTATATCTTGTCACAGTGTGGGCATTTTGCCTTGCCAATTCTTTCTAATTGACCACATAATGAGATTTGGATGCCGATTCAATAAGGAGTTTGAGCATCTTTAATCACTGAGCTCATAGCCTCAGAAATCTTTGGTCTGTAGCTTCAGAAACCAAATAGTCTTAGATACTTCTAAATATGTACCAAATTCAAATGGAAGGGGGATTCTCAGTGACTGTTCATTTCACAAGGACAGCCAATTTGGTGTAGCAGTTAAGGTGCTAGTGTATTAACCACAAGAATGTGAGTTCTAGGCATGAAAGCTGGCTGGGTGACCTTGGGCTAATCATATACTCTCAGCCCAACCCACCAGAAGGGCTGTTGTAAAGAAAATAAGAGGCAGGACAATTAGGTACCTTTGCCACCTTTAGATAGAGAAAAATAAAGAGAAAGTAACATTTGCCCAATATTTCCAACATTTTGGGGAAATTTTGTATATAAGTATTTTGGTTTTACCACTGATCCTACCACTGAATTTGAAGCAAATTACAAGATAGTTAACATGTCAGATTTTTTTTATGTAATTTAATATGTGAACATGCATATCAGAGGCTTATTTGTTGTCTTTTATCCTAAGATAGACTGAAATAGACATTTTTATTCATTATGTTTCTTTAGAAATAAATCCCCGTTAAATTATTTCCACTAGGGGCTTTTACATGTTAAATATATATAATACCTACAGCTTTCAAAAAGAAGGAACAGAAAAAAGAGTATAGAAATTTAACAGGAATAGAAAGTATAGTGTAGTAACTAACCTTGAATAGTTGCCAATGTACTGTTGCTCATCAGAGCTGGACTGAGAGCACCACCTAGCGTCCCAGGATTGAGACTAAGTAAGGCACCTCTGCAAATCCAAGACGCAAAGCAAAACAACCAAACAACCCAAAAAAACCAAAAAACAGGTGAGTTGTTAATTTAAGGGCAAAAATGTATCTTTTTCTAGAATTTTAACTATAAGAACTGAAACAGTTCTATTAAGTAAACTGTTTAATTTGGATTATACAATAACACACTGTTAACACTGTAAATATTTGAAGATGAAAGTAATAGAAATATGAACAAGGATTGTAACTCCACTAAATATTTTCAAACTAGGAAAAGTGTCAAAGGTTATATTGTTATACTTTTGTTTAACAGAGAATTAACAAGATGGGTAGATTTTTAATCACCATATATTTTAGATAAAGGTACTGAAATGTGATGACTCCTAGGTTCTCTCAATTAACTTGATACTTTAAAAAACAAGTTTTAAAGATACTCACCCAGCTGCAAATTGGGAAGATGCCATCAAGCCTGGATTCAATCCTGCCGCAGCTGCCATAGCAGCCAGACTTGCATTTGCAGGCAATTGTGCAGCTCCTTGTAGTGCAGCTGCTGCTGCTGCAGTTTGCAAACCAGAAGCAGTTACCATCACCTGGCTGGTCCCAAGTGCCGAGGTCAAGGGGGTGGAGGTTGTCTGGGTTGTGGTTGTCTCACTGGCACTGGATGCCTCAGATGTGGAAGCAGAGGCAGAAGGAGAAGGACTTAGGGAGGGTGATGTTACTGCCGAGGCAGCTGGAGGTGCCGTAGAAATTACAGTTGCTGTATTGTTGGGTATGGTTTCTGTGGTGCCTAAAATGATACAATATTTGAAGTACCTGGATGAGACATTGCTAAATGGAGCCAATGTTACTCTAACGGAACAAAAGAGCAAGAATTTGAGTATGAACAGTGGTTAACTCAGGGCAGAAACAAGTATCTTTGCTTAATGACTGCCATTGTCAACATTATGACAATGCTAAAAAACTAACTTCAGAACCAGTTCTCACATTTACAACCACTATAACATCCTGTGGTTTGTTGTTGTTAGCTGGCTTCTAATAATTAGTCAATGGAAAAGTCAGCAGTAAAATCACAAGTCACAGTCATGTGATGTCTTGCTTAACAACTGCAGTGAAAGTGAAACTGTAAGTCGGTCATCATCATGTGATGTCTGAGTGACTACATCACTTAATTATGAAGTGGCTGGTTTGATTGTAGTCATTAAGCGAGGACTGTAGTTCAAACATCCAGATAGAAAAAGGCTTCAGAATACACACAAATGAGTCATAACTTGATGATTAACAATAAACCTTCCTCATCAAAAAGACTGGACCAAATATTCAAATTAACAAGGATAGATGATCTTTTCATAATAGAATAAATGTGTAGCCTGAGCTATACTGTGCTAAAATATCATGCTTATAACTTGATGCATTTAAAGATTTAGAGTTCAGATATGACCCAAGTAGAATTATTAGTTTTGGTTGGTTTATAAACTATTTTTTGTTGGGACAGTTTGAGCTATACTACAGTTACTCATATTCTATCAAGTTTCATTACTATAACATCCCCTCTATAAAGCTGTTTGTAAAATGTGTCTAGAAATAAACAGCATCAGGTATTCCAACTGAATTACTGTTCCTACTTCAATTTGCATGCCATCTTTCACTTTTTAACTAAGAAAGCAGAATGTGTTTTAAAAAAATAAATAAAATTGTTTCCGTTGCTTTTATGACTGTTATGTTTAGTTTATAAGTCAAGTCAAAATAGAACATTTAGTGTTCTATTTCAAATATTCAGTTCAAATTGTTTGATTTGACTTATAAACTACTATAATGAACATTTTTTCTCACTGTTCTTTTCTTTGGTATGAATAAGCATAGCCTTGCTCCTAACCGATTATCCAGAACAAACAAAATACATTAAGAAATCATAATATAACCGAAGGATCCAATTGAAATGGATTATCTCAATTTCAAAATTAGTCTATTTCTTTTGAGAAATCCAAAATATTATTTCCAATTATGCCTGGCCGTTCATGGATCAACAATGTTTTAAAATAGCAATATGTGGCATTTGGTATATATAATTCAACTAATTCAACTGAAGAACTGAATACTGGCTACTTTTTTATCAGGATTCACATACACTTTCCTGATGTGTCAAGTTCCTCGTCAACCTCTCAATACTATAATCTTAGTGCTTCCTCCAAAACAGGAGACAACATTTCAGTACTCCTGATCCCTCTGCAAGTCAGTCAGATCTCAATCTCTCTAAGGCCTTGGTTTGGATAAAAAGTGTTTGAGCAGCACTGGAGGCAGAGCAGGATTGCTCTCAAGAAAACGTGGTGCGCTGCTCACTCATGTGCGCCGGCCTCATTGAGAGAAATCCCGCTGTGCACCTTTGCTTCCTTTCACTTGGAAGAAAGAAAAGAAAGAAAAGAAACTCAAGCCACTGCTGCTCAAACACCTTTTATCTGAATGGAGATATTTGAGAGATGAGGAGCTCCATTGAGTGTGAATACAAAGCTTGAAAATGCAGCAAATCACTGCATTTCCAAGGCTGCATAGGTGCTCAAACACCTTTTATCCGAACGGAGATCTTGGGGAGCGCCATCTGTGTGCGAAAAAAACTTGAAAACGCAGTGAAATTGCTTCCTTCTGAACTGCCCCATTTGCTCAGAGGGAGAATCCAGTTTCCCCAAGGTCTCCCTTTGGATAAGAAGCTGATGTGCACCTAGCTGACGTTTGAAAATGAAGCGATTTGCTTTGTTTTGAACCGCCACATTTGCTCACAGAGGGAGAATCCAGTTTCCTCACCGTCTCTCTTTGGATAAGAAGTTTATTAGCAGCAGCAGCAGCTTGGGTTTCTTGGCTCCATCTGAGTGGAGGGAAGCAGAGGTGCAGCACAGGATTGCTCTCAATAAGGCTGGCACACACAAGCAAGCAGTGCACCCAGGTATTATTGTTTGAGAGCAATCTTGCTGCTGTGCCTCCACTTTCCTCCACTCAGATAGAGCTGAGAAACCCAAGCTCCTGCGGCCGCTTGAGTGAGGAGGACAAGGAGGAAGAGAAGAGCTGTGAGGATTTGTGCCAGCCGGCCGGCCAGGCAAGGACTAGGTCGGGTGGGGTGGCTGGCTGGCTGGGAAGGGGGATCATGGCCGCTCAGGTGGTTGCTGCGAGCCGCTCAGCTGTGCCATGGACGGTATTGGTTCTTGTGCCCGGCCGACTCTGATTTCATGCTTTGCCCTATAAGTGTGCAAATGAAGCAAACTCTTCTCCCCCCTCCCAGAGAATGGAAGCTTCCGGGGGCCATGATCTCTTTTGCAAAGAGTGGGTGTTTGAACTCGCACGATATTATGGCACCCAGAAGCTTCCATTATCAGCACAAAAAGCATTTGTGGCAGAGGAGACATATTTTGCAAGGTAAGTGACTCTGGTGCAGCAGGAAGAGAGGGGGAAGCACTTGTGAGGAGTGTGAAAGTGAATAGGGTGAATACTGCAAAAACTCTGCGGTTGCTCATAAGGGCGAACGACTACCATGGTGCTGCAATAGTCATAATTTTGGGGTTTGCTCGTAAGCACTAGGGGGCGCTGATCACATAACTTTGAACGAGCGTTAAGTGACCACTCAGGATTACCTCTGTAGACATGATGATGATAATTTTATCTTTAAAAGAGAAAGCATTTATATGGAGTTGCAGTCCAAATGACCTCTTACCTGTGACTGCCAAACTAGTTACAGTTGCGCTGGTTAAAGGGAGCCCAGGATTGACAGTCAAAGTGGTAGCTGCACTGCTTGTCACAAGGCTTGGTGTAGTTGCCACCTATAGATCAAAAGAAAATAGCTGAAATCCTAAAAAAAGGATGTCACCAATGAATAAAGGAGTCAAATGAAAACTTCTATATAGCTTTAGATTTTCACAAGAAGCTGCCCTTTGTTATCTTTAGAAAATAATTAATCTTTCTAGGTGTGGAAGAACAAAATTAAATATATTAGCATACTACAAAGGCAGATTTAAATAAGTATTCAAAGTGGCATGCCACAAAGATGGCATAAGTATCTTTCTTCATCAACTACAAAACAGAAATAATAAGAACTGAACTGTGTACATTAATGTCCACTCATCATAAGTATCAGATTTTGAGAGCCTTAGAAGCAAAAATATTAATATCATCCTCTTGCTATTCTTAGCAAGAGTTGTCAAATTATCTCCCAATCTAACATAATTCAAATGGTTTTGAATTTTTACCAATGAAGTTGGACAAGGGAACATTGCTTTGATGGGCGAGTTGCTGGTTCCACCACTACTAGGTGGGTTAATTCTTTTTTCCTTCTGGCGCCGATTACAGAACCAAACACGGATCACCTCTTTTTCCATTTTCAGCTGGTCAGCTATCATGGTTATCTCTTCCGAGGTAGGCTTTTGGTTCTGAAAGATAAACCATTTAGACTATTTTCTGTTGCATGATATAATTTGGATTATATTCCTTTCTACCGGTATATTAAAAGGAAACTACAATAATAGAAGTAAGTACCACAGATACGCTAGATACAAATTATATCTTATTACAAAGTAAAATAAATGTGGAGTTTCCTTCATATTTTAACTGCTGGAATACTTTATATGCCTCTCACTGGAAATCACATACGATTCATTCTCTGAAAGAATAGCAGACTAAGTTGTGAACATATCCTTCGGTGTCAAAAATAACTTTTTTATTTATTAAAAAGTCTGATATGGAATTGAATTTAGATCTTAATTTTACTTATGGAAAAGTACTACTTGGGATTCTCTTAACACAAGGTTTTAAATGATTAAATCTTGCCTGAATTGTTGCAATAAGAATAGATATTATTCAATTAGATAATATTTTTTATAAATAGCTCATTCTGTTTAATGATTATTATACTCTCTGCCTTGTTAATTATTGAATAATATTTTAATAATTATTTTGAAATACTATACTGATAAAACTATTACCTTTATATAGTCTAATGTTACCTTGAAAAATCCTTATTCAATTTTATATTGCTTGTAAATCTTTCTATTTTTTTTTTTGCTCTTTTCTTTTACACTCTTTCTCTCTAATACATCTTCAATTATTTATTAAAATAAAAATATAAAAAATGCAAGTGACATATCAATGCAAAGATGCACTTGTTTGTGTGTGATCTATTTTCCACAAAAGTCCTAAAACAGTGTGCATATATGAACATTTGCACGCCATTTCATCAACTTTTTTTTAAAAATATATTGATATACCTTATATACTAGAATAGTACAGTGCAAGTACCGACCTCCAGGAAACTCTTCTCTAAGGCCACACGTATGTTGGTCTCTATGCTGGTGCGTTTCTTCCTCCTACGGTTCAAGCCTTCAATCCCCAGCCCTGGAGAATTCAGGGCACTTGGGCTGGAAAGAGCTGAATCAGATGAGAGGTTTTCTGCAAAAAGGTCAAGTTAATCATGGTAATTAGTGTAACGTAAGCAGGAAGTTAGTTTAAAGAAAGTAAATTTCATTCATTGTGCTTGCCTAAAAACATACATACATTCCAAAGTTCTATTGTTTGGGACCTGAAGCTCATATGTACAAATCCATTCCAACGAAACAAGCAGCTCACCCACTTGCAAAAAGAAAGGAGACTCAGAATTCCAATGAATGAAATCAACTTCCCACAACTATATATACTAACATCTTATTTATTAAACATATGGTTTTACACTGTGGTAAACTGCATATATCCTTATTTAGAATAAAAGTTTGATGTCCACTACTCAGTATTTTTTCTCAAATATTTTTAACACTTGTCTTAGGAACATAAAATTTTATGCAATGCTTATGAAGTTATTTTTAACAGAAAACAACTATAAATAAGACACAGACATGGAAAAGCTTTAAGCTTTAGCCAATACTGCACAATATTTTTTTTGAAAAATCTGACTAGTTTTACTTGTAAATCCTATTCCACATTTTTTTTGTATAATGCATTAAGTCTTCTACAGATATATTCCTGTACTTATATCCTCAGGAAAATTAACAGGAAGCATTTTCAGAATTCCAGAAATCAGCTGTGAAATTATGAGAAAATCTAGACATCAATTTACCTGCATCATTGAGCCACTTTTCCAGAAGTGGTTTTAACTTGCACATGTTCTTAAAGCTGAGGTTCAAGGCTTCAAAGCGAGAAATAGTAGTTTGACTGAAATCATTTCCATATAGTTTACCCATAGCGAGCCCAACATCACCCTACATGGACAAAAAGATTGTAATTTGTTCTGGATATCAGATGTAAGAAGATTTCTACTCAATATGTGAGAGATGGTTTTCCACTTTCAGTAAACTACTGTTGTAGAATGTCTGTGATACTTATTGCATACAGTATAATACGTTCATTTTACAACTGCAATATCTCTTAAAAACTTGCCACAGATGAGTTAATCCCACCTAAGAGATTTTCTATGGGAAGTTATGAAGATGTTTTTATAACATAGATCCATGTTTTTATAACATAGATCCATATCCATGGATGCAATGCTCCATAATACTAAGTGTGAGCTCTATCTAAACCAGAAGTTCTTTGTTAGCATATTATCTTTAGGAGTCCAACCGATATGCCTCAAAAGTCCCTTATCAAATTGGGTGCCAAATATCCAATAAGCATTTATTTAAATATACCAGTATGAATAAACATTAAATAATATTGCAAATTTATAAATAAGAAACCACTTCTAATTGGGAAAAGTGATTAAGAGTCTCAGATCTGAATACCAGTGACCAAATTCCTTCTAAATGGAAATGCGATCATACCTGAGTGAATCCAAGTTTGATCCGTCTTTGTTTAAAAGTCTTGGCAAATTGCTCAAGCTCCTCAAGATCACTGGGCTCTTCCAAGCTGGGTGTATCAATTCGCTTTGGTGTTGTCTGGCTCTGTGGAAGTGGCTGAATAGGGGTCGCTGCTATTGTGCGTGTTGGGGTTGCTGGCTGCTAAGAAATATGGGAAAATAGAGTAATATGAAAAGTGCAGTAATAATGTACCACAACACAATTGTCTTGTGTTCAATTCAAGTGCACTTGCACTCAATAGTTTATGTCACTATGCCAGAGGTTCTCAAACTTTTGTGGTATACAGAACCCTTGCTTTCTCAGTAAATTTTTCATGGTGCCCCAGGGCAAAATAAATACCAAACAATTATTTTCACTAAGTACAGATAGTCCTCGACTTACAACAGTTCATTTAGTGACCGTCTAAAGTTACAATGGAACTGAAAAAAGTGACCATTTTTCACACTTATGACCACTGCAGCATCCCCATGGTCATGTGATTTATATTCAGATCTTGATATGTGGTTCATATTTATGACGGTTGCAGTGTCCCGAGGTCAGGTGATTGCCTTTTGTGACCTGCTGACAAGCAAAGTTGATGGGGAAACCAGATTCATTTAACAACCATGTTACTAACTTAACAACTGCAGTGATTCACTTAATAAATGTGGCAAGAAAAGTCATAAAATGGGGCAAAGCTCACTTAACAAATTTTTCACTTAGCAACATAAATTTTGGGTTCAATTGTCATCATAAGTCGAGGAGTACTTATAATTAGCTCCTGTGAGTTTGCTGTTGTGGCTTAGGGTGACATGGCAAAGTTTGGGAACTGCAGCACTATGCAGTGTGAATGAGCTAAGGAATATTATGCATTTATTACATTTCTAACCACAGTCAATAATAATTCTTGGGAGCTCACAGGGTTTCAGAAAAATTAAACATCCATGCTATATTTATATTCAGTCACTAAATGATAAAATTTATACATATAACAAGATCAGCATAATTTAATAAAACTACACAAGATGGCATAACACATAAAATATCTAGAATACTCTCTAAAAGAGCTCAATCATCCTGAAAGCAATCATAGTGGGGGACAGTATAATCTCTACTGAAAAATTATTCCAAAATAACAGTTTTACTATTGAAAAGCAGCGTCTCCTAACTTTCATTCACTTTGTTTCTTGAAAGTGTGGGAGTGCAAGGAGATTTTCTCTGAATAACTAAGTGGATTGGGAAAGATCAGGTTGTAATAACTAGTCCTGAAACTGTCAAGAGTACCAAACCACGGAGGACATCATAGTCTTAAAACCAGCATTTTAAATTTTACTTGGAAGCTAATTAGTCAATGTATGGTATTGGTGTTATGTACTCCTAGGAATGTGTGTCAATTATCACATGATCAACAGTGTCCTGGAAAAACCATGTAAGTAAAATTGATATCACAATGGCTATTTGGAAGGAAGTTAATACTTTTAATTATTTCAAAATAATAAAAATGAAGATAGATATTTTTGATATCGGGTATCAGGATAGCTTAACAGATATTTCACAATTTCAGAAAAGCTTTGATCAAAGAATCTCACCAAAGAGTCCTAGGCATAATCAAGTGCTCTCATGGATTAGCAATTAATTAAAACCAGGGAGCAGAGAGTAGGCATAAATTTTCAATTCTCACAAGGACCTAGTTCAGAACAACTTGTATATAAATTATATGGAAGTAGGGCTGATTAGTAGCAATAGGTGACTAAATCCAAAGAGATTGTAAAGAATGGGCTTTCCCAAGTGAATACAATTCAAAGTAAACACGTGTAAAGAGTTACATGTTGGCATTTAAAAAATCTAAAATTCATTGTATATTAATAGGATGTGAGCTGGTAGTAACTGACCAGGAAAGGTGATTATGTAACAGTGTAATAGTGGACAGCTTGAAAATGCTGCACAAAAGACGAATGTCATGGATGGAATACAGAAAGGGAACAGGAGTACCAATATAATATTGCCATATAAATTTATGGAGCAATTGCCCTTGACTACTGTGTACAGTTCAACATTGAAATTAATGTAAAAAAGGGGGATGAAGCAGCTCCTATGAGGAAAGGCTACAGCAATGAGATGCCTTATCTTGCAATTAAGAATGGTATGGAAAGATATGATAGAATTATATAAAATAATTGATGGCATAGATAAAACAAATAGAGATAAAATTTTCTTCTCACTCTCTTAATGCTAGCATTCAAAATGATCCACCGAAAATAAACAGATGGAGATTCAGGATTGAAATAAATATTATTTTAAAAGCTTCTTCTTAAACTATGAAATAATAGAAAGAAAGATCTTTAAGAGAAAAAGATCAGAACATCTCTATTTCCTCTTCCATGATAAGGATCACTGGAATGGGGAAAGGCTATTAACCTAGCACCCTCATTTACTGTAATCAAGATGAAGACTGTTTTTGGGAAGAGAAATTATAACGAGGGGAGAACGACGGCATTATTCCCCTCTCATTTCCTTTACCCCTAAAATACTATGGTATATTCCCAGTAGCATACCAAATATTTGTTTGGAGGCAACTGAAAATGAAACTGAATTGGAAATGTCATTCCATGCCCCTCTTGTCCAGTAAATTTGTTGATAAGAAACAACTGCAGCAATGTGTCACCCTAAAGAAGATGACATGATAGGTATTTTGAAGGTCACCTGGGTTCTACAGATAATCCTGAAGAATGAGACCAACAATTCAAATCATGCACTATTTCTTCTATCCTCATCAGTTAGCAGAATTAATAAAACAAAATAAACAAACAATAAACTGACCTGAGAGGTGAAAGTGATGCTTGGCTGAGACTGCAGGAGGTTGGCTTGGCTTTGCTGAGGTAGTTGCGTTAAGAGATTCTGCGCTTGCAGGAGACCTGAAAATTGAAATGCATTTACATAAATGAAATGAATTAGCATAGTTTGCTGTAGTACAGGTTCTAAAAAGCAAAGATTTTTTGTATCATACTTGTAGCCCAGCCTAGCGTTAAAGGGTATCTATATTAACCCCAATATTTCCTTCAGAAAATCAGTCATATTCTATTCACCTCATGGCTTAATTACTGTCATGCGCTGTACGTAGGGACTACCCTTGAATACCATTAAGAAGCTTCAACTGGTCCAGAATGCAGCAGTGTGGGAATGATACATATACCTCAGAATGTCTATGTGAGACTTTCACTTTACAAGCTGTACTGGTTGCCAGCATGTTCCAACTGTGATTTAATATGTTGGTTATAGCCTATAAAACTCTGCATGGAATAGGAACAGATTATTTGAAGGATCACCCATCTTCCCTGGTTTCTGCCTGGTCCACATGTGCTGATAAAATTGATGTGTTCCATGTTCTTTTGATTAAACAGTGCTCTCTATCAGAATCCAGGAAATGTGACTTCTTTATCATGGGGCCTGCTCTCTAGAATGAGATTCCCACTGATATCAGTATGATTCCTACCCTGGTGACATTCTGAAGGCCTTAAAGACATTCCAGGCCTTTGGTTACTATGTGGTATATGTTTTTCCATGATTTTATCTGGAGCAAATGGATATAATCTTGCTTTGTTTTTGTGCTTTTGTTATACTGCAAACCACTCAGAGCCAGTGGTGTTGGGCAGTACTGAAATTATAAAAATAATAAATGCATTAAGATTATTTTGTGCTAAACAAAAGCATTCAGCAAATCATGTTTAAGGCATGTCCCTTTTGATTCCAGCTTTTTGTGCTTCTTTTAAGCAAAAACAAACAAGCAAACAATGGACAGATCCAAAATATAAAGACACTATTCTCATAGAGTTTTCTAGAACAGTGGTTCTCAACTTTTTTAATGCCGCGACCCCCAACCGGTCGTAAGTCGAGGACTACCCAACCGGTCGTAAGTCAAGGACTGCCCAACCGGTTGTAAGTCGAGGACTTTCCCTGCCCGGGAGAGCCGTGCATGCGTGGTGCCGCCCCCTGCGCTGGCCGAGGCGTAGCTGGCAAGCGGCAGAGACGGAGCAGGCCGACCACCGGCTGGGCCACCAGCTGGCCCAGCCCAAGGGAGGTAAGGCACCCGCCGGGCTCCACGCGCGCCAGCAACCCTCTCTGTGCCCGCCGGCCTCCCATCTCCCACCCCTGGTCCTCTTTTACTTACCTTTTTAGTAGTTGCTCAGCAGGGAGGGGTGGAAACTTCCAGACAGCTCGCCTTTGCTGCAGACAACTTGCAGCACTGTTTGCAGAATGGGACTTTTGGTGGGCTCAGCAGGGCAGAGACAGCCTGGACAATTCCTATTGGCTTTTGAAAGCCAATAGAATTAGACTCTATTCAAAAGCCAATAGAATAAAAGGGAGTAGCACAGCTAAGGAAAAGGGGAAAAAAATGGCGGACTGCGTTGTTTGGTGACCCCATGAAATGGTTGTTTGACCCCCAAATGGGGTCGCAAACCCACAGGTTGAGAACCGCTGTTCTAGAATGTTCATGGCATATCTATTCCATAGAATTTGTTGGAAACAACCTCAGACAATTAATGATTATTCTTATATGCTTAAGCTTCAAGCAGGTGATCCAGCTGAACATTCTAAGAAGTGTAAATTTGTTGCTAATTAATCAATATGCAATTAGAAAAAAACTATTTTAAAATATATATTCATTTATCTTTCACAGCTACTGTAAGAATAAATGATTCTTATAAAGGAACACTGAGTAGATGCCTTCTGATCACATGACTATAGTCAATCTGATGGTTCCAATAGAACAGTTTCTTTTTCTCCCAAAAGAAACATGCCTGTAACCAATTTTTTTAAAAATTTCTAAAAAATACAGGAATTTGCTACATGAAAAACTCTAAAAGATCATCTCAGAAATGTTTTGCTTACCCTGCTGCCCCTGCGGTGTTTGTGAGATGATGAACTGTGCTGGTTGCAAGTTGGTTGTTGGATGCACCAAGACAAACTGTTGCAGATTGAGATTTTGTTGCTGGAGCTGCTGTAGATGCTGCAGATCCTTCAAGAAGGAAAACATATGAGATATCCAAAACTAAACACCTTCTCCTTCTCCTTTTTAAAATAAAGCCAAAGGAAGAAGGACTCCAAACATCTTGTTTCCTGAACACGATACACCTATGTACACCTTTGAAGAATATACACGGAACAAAAAGAGTTCAATGCATTTTATCATCCCTTCCACTGAAAAACTTTTCAAGTTTTCAGATATGCTGCCATGTTCATAACAGAAATAACTTCTTAATACTTAGCAAATGCTGATGCTTCAGGCTGCTTCTTTCATTCTCTGTACCTGTCCCTTGCTGATAGGGAAGTTGTGAAAGGGCAGGAGAAAAGCCATTTTTGTTCTCATCTGTCAACTGACTCATGAAAAAGGCAGACCCCCACTGACATTTTCTGCAGCAACCTTCAATAACAAGACAATCTAATGGGTTCTGCCTCCTTTTTTCATGCACCTACTTCTGTGCAAGCAGCTGGCGTTTTTAGAGGGGGGAAAGATACTGCCTTTCTTTATTACCTTTTCTCCTTTCTAGCCAGCAAAACGTGCAGGATTTCCCCACTTATGCATGAGGAGCAAGGGATGAAATATAAATGAAGCAATGTACATTTTGGAGATGGCCAGGACCAATTCACCATCATCATCATGATGTTTTTCTACATTAAAAAAACATACTGGGAATCATACTGATGGTGTCATGATGACCACCGAAACATTAGTAGCTCTTTCAGAGACAACAAATTGGTCAACAAGCAGAATGGTAAAAATGGATTCTTTTATGATATGCAAATAAGTGCTAATTATTTATATTATATATAAATATATATATAATACAGTATATCATATTATACTGTTATATAACAATATTATTAACAGAACTAGACAGAAGGCAAGAAACAACACTACATAATTTTTAAAGATCTGCTTAATGTATTCATACAGAAATCGATTAATTAAATGAAAATTAATTGGTCAAGGCCAAATTTTTCTAACAATAAGAGCAATTCTCTAATAGTATTAATGGTCTTTCCTTTACTAGATATGTTCAGGTACAGGCTGAGGCTGATTTACCATTTGTCACTAATGAATTTGATTCCTGTACATAGCATTAAGATTTTGACTTAATGGTCTATGTGCTATTCGAATGATCTTCCAAATCATTGATTCCACTGACTAAATCTATTAAAAGAAATAGTTATTTGGTAATATGTTATAAAATAAATTCAAATAAGAAAAGCCATGTTGTTAATGATAAAGAAAATGACAAAACCATTTCCTAAAGTCTACAGTGTGAAAGATTCTAGAGCAGCGGTCCCCAACCTTTCTGGCTTGATAGCCAGGCAGGGGGACGAGGGGATGGTTCTGTGCAAGCAGCAGGTGCATGCACACAACTGGAGCTATGCATGTGTGTGTACTCACCTGTTGCTTGTGTGGCCTGGTTCCGAATTGGCCATGGCCCAGGGGTTGAGGACCTGATCTAGAGTTTATATGAAGATCTGGACATGAAGTTTTGCTTTGCTGATTCCACAGTTCAGCTTTATCAGCTAAGCTTCTTACTCTCACTTTCTACTTTTTCATTTCCTTCCTTCCTTACGATCAAATAGTGATGCATTAAAAAAGTTACACACTTTCTGCAACAGGAAGCAGTTACTGTGTTCCCAAGACATTCTCATTACATGATATATAATGGATCTAAACTTCAGCTATTCTGTGGACAAACAAAAGAAGACATATTTGACCAACTAAAGCCATTAACAGTTTGAACCTCACCTGTGCAATTTGTATCGGCTGAGATAGAGGAATCTGTGTCATGGGTGTTGCAGCAGAAGCTGAGATGGTGGCCCCTGCAGCATTGTGCTGCTGACTGGCTGAATGCTGCACTGCAGCTGCCAGCAACTGTGCCTGTGCCTGTTGTAACAATAATTGCTGCTGGGCTGGTGTTAACGTAAGCTAGAAACAAGTTTTAGGATAGTAATTAATAAAGGAAAGGAACAACCACTTCTTAAATATTACTGTTAATTCCTGAGAAGTTTTTATTAGATAGGCTATTTTATATTAAGCATTTTTTGATTCAGTTAAAAAAAAATCAAGCTATCCAGTTAATTTTACATCACCCAAATGGGGCTGGCATGTGTTTGTGACCATTCGTACCACTGGGATCAGGGAAGCAAGATTCTCTATGACTTTTCTTCAAGATCAGTGTGAAAAAGGTAATTAGCAAGCAAGCAATGCAGAGAAACAGCACTGACAGGAAATAGCAAGCAAAAAGAACAAGCCATCATTGACAGGCTTTGAAAGGAAATTTACATCCACCAGAAGCACAAGCGATTAGCCAGATGAATGAAAAATAGCAATGCTGGCTGTGGTTACCAAACAACTGACAATACTCCAGCTGCTTCATATTAGTATGAATCCCTGCCATGTTCCATCATTCCCATTATGCCTTAAGATATAGATGAGGAGCATGTGCACCATTTGTTCCTTTCCAAGGCACCCCCTCTTCCGTCTGTCTTTTTGTTTTGATAACATTGAGCTGGTAAGTTGACATCTCTGCCAGTTTACAAACATGCATTATCTCTATGAAACAGGTGGCATCAAACTCCCTCTGACACATTAATATTCTTCCCAGTTTCTGTAATGAGAGAGCTGCTAGGTTCAAAAACCTGGATCCACTCCCTATATTACAGGCAAGAACATTTCAGCAATATGACCCCAGACAGCATTTGAAAAAGCCTGAAGGATGCTGAACAGGTCCATGCAAATATTCACACATACTCTTATCATAAGCCTTAAAGAATGATACTCAGATTACAGTAAAATTGTGATTTTTATGTTATTTAGCTATTGTTATGGCATACATTTGCTCAATTGAAAAATATACAAAGAGCTCAACTGAAAAGCACTATATAAAGAGCTTTTCATCTCATGCCAACTTTTAAAATGTTAATCTAAGGGTTCATTTTTCTATATGAAAAATAGAAGGTCAACAAACCAAAACATGTAATCAAAGTTACTCTTTAGAATGAATATTAAAATACCTGATTCAATGTTCCTGAATATGAGAGTGAGTTCATTGTGACTTCAGAGACACCAATACATGTCTTATTTCAATCATATAATAAGTTACTTTGCCGTTTCTATCATGCTACTGATTTTATCACAAATAGCTTATGTTTCATAAGACTAGAAACAAATATGTAAAAATGCACTAATGTTTTAGGCTGCTTTGTATCTACAATCACTAATATTTTGCAATAGAGCTGCTGTTGCTTAGGAGATTTCAAATGAATTTATTGTTGAAGCTAGCAAGGACAACTTTTGCCACCACGTATAAAACTAAAAGTGTAAACTTAAAACATTAATACAATATATTGGGCTCAGAGATCAAAAGACTACTCCATTACACTCTAGAATATCATATGAAATTGCAATATTTAGAAGAAACAGCAAAGAGAAGTTTTGTACTTTCTCTCTTTACACAGAGTAATTATATAACAATCTCAGTGTTATGGCCTTGTCAGAGGTTTACAGGAATGCATAATATTGATAAATTCAGATTCACTGGGATTACTTCATTTTCCTTTTTGGGTTGTTTGGCTAATACCACAACTTGAGAAGGTTGCTCATTCTCTATAGCTGATCTTACCCCAGTTATCTGCCCTCCAGCCAACATAAGCTGCGTTTGCGGTATGGCCGCCTGAACTGAAGGCTGCTGTGAAGGCTGGCTTGGCTGCTGAGTGTCCCCAGATTCTTCATTAGATTTAGACTAGAGAAAGAAAAATACAAACTTTGTAGAACACAGCAGTTATTAGTATGGACAAAAACATATTCTATTATAGTGTTTTCCCTTTTCATTGAATGTGAATTAATTTGTGTTTTTTTTAAAAAAAAACTTTAAAAAGCTTATTTGTTTCTGTAAGTAAGCACAAATAATAGATGGGGGTTGTATTTGCTTTCATACCAGTAAAAAACAAAATACTTAGAACAAAAGAAAAGAACAGTAATTTCAGGTTATTTTCATAGTTGGATAGAAATGAATATGTTGAATACATAAAACCTCTGATTTATTATCTCCCTGTCATTTATGTATTGGTTTAAACCAGTACATTAATTAGTGCTGCTAAAGCTTCCAAACTTTCCTAGTCAATGCAATGTTACCGATATTCTTAGATGCACACCTTCACCAAGTATGTGACATTGCCCAACCCTATTAATTACTGGGAAAACCATTACTAATACACTGAAGCTTTGGATCAGAGGATCACAATTTCCATGCATCCATTTTATCAATATGGCATTCAATTTAAACAAGATACTAAAATGTTTGTATACAAAAAGTACCAAGGGAAAGAAAACCAACACTCAGAATACCAATATTATTTCTAATCAGTGAAGTTCTGGTATTTATAACAGCAAGCTCAGTTTACATATTTAAACTATTTTACAGAAAAACAAATTAATATAGCCACAAGGTAGGAAATGCAAGCAAGAAAGCAAAAGAAAGATAGGGGGAAAAGCCCAAAGAGGGGTTTATGCTAATTAAAATTGCTTATGGAGAACATTAAAATTCTGCATAGATTTGCATATTTTCCACCACCTGTTTTGGGGACCACAGAGCAGGCTAATTAACATAGAGGCTCTGATTAATTCTGCCAGTCATTGAGAGATAATTACAGCACAGGACTGTAAACATTCTGCACTGGAGATATAGTGTGTTTGCCAACATCTCTCTCTGGGATTGAAAATTTACCATGGCAACCAAGTCAATGTTCAGCCTCTTTTTTACAGAAGAAGGTCACTTTTCCTATTTCTTTCAGAAGCATCATTTGTAACTAGATGTGTGTTCTAGAAGGCTTCAAGAATAGTCTTCAGTCTTTAGCATTCTGATAATGAAGCCACTTCAAAATACTGTTTGTTGTATTCCTTTTGTTTTTTAATATATTGCTTGAATGTTTTAATAAGAATCAGAGGATCACAATGTGGTATAGCATGAAGCGTATTTAGTCAGCTATATATGTTTGATAGAAATGAACAAGTTTTAGATTCAACTATTGAAAATAAATGTATTTTCTCCAATATTGTATAACTTTCCAAAATGATATATTAAAAAAGTAGGATAAAATGATGATGATGATAATACCTGCTTCCGTAATATAAAAGGAGCTCTTTTTAATAGTTTTAACAGCATTAATTGCTGTTGAATACCTAAGTTAATGATTATTGTGTCACACTATTGTGTCACAACTAAATGGATTCAGACGGATGAGAAATTTATAGTAATTCTTACCTGTACATTTAAGGATTGGGCAGTAGCTTGTAAACTTGATCCAGGAAGCTGAACCTATAAAAATAATTCATTTTTATGAATAGAATCAGTAGAATGGTTGCAAAATTTTCCCAGCTTGAAAAACATATAATAAGCATTATGTCTTAAATACTACTTAAACCCCAAGGTTATAGGTAGATGGGTTAATAAAAAATATTCTAGTTAGCAGAATGCAATGGCAATATTGCAAGAAAACTATACTGATATGAAATCATGATGAGTGAAATTTGGTAGGAGACTGAATCCCATTGCAGAATTGAACTGATCTGGAAAGATTCAGGAACTGACTAAATCAAATCAGCATTTTTATGAAGCAGAAAAATTAGAATTTCATTGAAAGTTCATTAGAAATTTGGTGGCACACAGAATCATAGATAATATGCATCTCACTAAATGTAAATTTCTTCAGATTTTAGTATGCTATGTGAACCCAGATTTGTGGGTGGTAATGCATTCTTTACAGGTTAAAAATCACTCCAATGAAAAGTTTTACAATGTTCTTCTCAAAGAGACCAGGGCATCCTTCTACAGAAGCTAAACATTTTTTTTAAAGCAGAGGTTTTCTCTGTGTTGTGTATCATTTTCATAAGAACACAAACTTCCAAATTATAAAGGATATGAATTTTCCCAAGGATGTGTTTCTCTCAGAAGGGGAATAACAAGTAATGTATTACTTGCTTCCTTTAAAAAAAAGTTTAGTTGTGGTTATCACAAAAATACAAAAAAAGCTTCTGCTTGCAAGGGGCTATTATATTTTTAAAATTTGCCCAATTTTGACAAAGAAAGTTATAAATTTTTCTATTATATTTAGTCTGAGGCATTATTTTTGAAGTGTTTGACATCAAAGATTCAGAATCAGCAAAAGCTGATAAGACAGCTTTGAATCACTCTTTAAGGCGTGAATAACTGAACTGGGATAGAAATTAAATACTGTAAGCAATACACATCCCAAGATCAAGCAACAAATAGTAGTGGTAGTAAAGTTGGAAGGGACCTTGGAGGTCATCTAGTCCAACCCCCTGCTCGGGCAGGAAACCCTACACCATTTCAGACAAATCAGAAATCAGAAATTGAGTAATATCACATTATTGTATAACATTAGAAAGGATATCTTAAAATGTAAGGTTATAGCACTTTTTATTTTTAAAAAAATCCAAAAGAGATGCATTATACACTCTGTTGAACTACAACATGGCTCTGGGAACTCAGATATATTATTCAGGTAGCATATGATATATGTAAATAGGAGACATAAACTAGTAGCTAGTATATAAGCAAATATTGTTTTCAAACTTTTCCTACATTTCTGGATTGGATTCCACAAAAATATAAGCATGCCATCTGCCACCAAGCAAGTAATTATCCTATAAAAAAGCAGTGCCAACATCCAGTTTAATCTGTCTGTCTGGTAGTATTATGAGAAAGAACAGTATTCATTAGAGAGATTTGCAAACCAGCATTGCAACATAGCTGTTTTAAATATATGGTGAAGGTAAAAACTTGCAATTTTTGCTGTTTCAATTCTTTTTGTAGTATCAAATTATGAATACATTTATCTTACACATCATTTGCAAAAAACACTTAAGACTATTTTAATGAAAACTAAGTTCAACATACTGCATTTTTTAAAAAGAAATCTCATTAGTTAATTGTAAATGATGCTATATTCTGCAGTAAAGATATCTATTTGGCCTAAATTTTATTTTTAAATAAATTCATCCTATATTGTAGAGGAGCTACAATATAGATACAGATACTCAGTATTCTTCCTCTCACTAAAAGTAAACTCCAAGGCAGCCCTGAATTATGTTTTATAGCATATATTTTTTATTATAAAAGTATGAACCGGATATCAATTTGAACCATAAAGCACACACATTTGCAAGAATGCAAAGTCATTTTGCCGACTAATCTTGCAAACCACATGAACTTAAAAACAATACATTATTACTGAACATTTTATAGTTAACTAGACAATTGTGACCCATTGGGTTATCATTTCAAATATTCAAATATTTCCTTACCTAAACAAAAAGGCAGAATAACTATGGGTGAGCAAAAAGCAGTGAGAATGGGAGCAATTTCTGACTTCTTGCTGGCTTTCCCATTGAGATTCCTTGTAGGAAACTGGCAGTAAATGTTCTGGCACTATCAGGTAACTGCAGCTAACTGTGATGGTGCAGCCACTAAAGCTGCCACAAATTTCCCACATTTTAATCTCACAGGTTTTACATGCATTCTGTAAGTTAGTCCATCTGATGTACCAGTATGTTAATTCCAAAATGGTGCTCCTATGATGCACCATTTCACCAACTGAAGGTTACAAACAATCAGACACAAGAGTTTAGTAGTATACAGATGGCAAAAGCCTTTTATACCTACTGCCTAGTGACAAATTTATATATATTCTAAATCAGGTGTCGCCAACTTTTTTGGATTGGCGGCCCGGTGGGAAAGGAAGGAACAGGCAGCTTTATGGGCACAGGCACATACACTGGCCAACCACTCACGCAGCCCGCTGGCCAAGAGGTTACAGCCTGGTAGTGGGCCGCAGCCCACAGGTTGGGGACCTCTATTCTAAATGATCTTAAAATGTACTTTAAAAAAAAAAAAAAAAAAAAAACACAAAGCTTAGGGACTGTCATGCCTCCGTCTGAGCCTGAATCTGCGGAGGAAAATGAACTGGAACAGGACCTTATGGAGGCCGAGGGAGAGGTGTATGTGGCTTCAGAGGACTGTGGGAAGAGCAGGCCGAGGCAGGCGAGAGCCCTTCAGGATTGGAACAGGAGGAACAGGAGAGGCAGAGTTCAGGCGATGAGCAAAGGCCACCCCCACTTGATCCTAGAGCACTGAGAGTGGAGAGGAGGAGGGAACAATGCAGGCAGGCTCAATTACTCGGGAGGAGAGAGTCCCGCCCTTCTCCACAAGGAACACCTGGAGATTGAGATTTAAGGAGACGCTGTGGGGAGGGGCATTTGTTGGGAACAAATGCTGATTCTTGGAGTGTTGTGTATTGTTGCTGAACTCTTGTTCTATGACTTCTGTTTGGAAACTCAAACTATTGCACTGACTGACCACATTACTTGAATGTTAACAGACCTCGGACTGTATTTCGGATTCTCTCTTTTGAAAACTGCTCAGGCAAGTTAGGATTCAAACAGACTTGTTAGGTTTATGTTTTCTTCCTTGTTATCTCTATGGCCTTGAGTAATTTCTTATGCTAATCAGACTGTATCTGAACCTTCTTTCAGCCAGAGTCGGCTGAAGGGGTGTGTGTGTGCTGTTGTTGGAGGCTTGCCAGCAAAAGTGGGAGCATTTGGGGAAAATTTGGAGCAATAAAAGAACTGTTTGAATTGCCAGCTGACTGCATTGTCTCTTTGCTGTGCCCTGGGTCATCACAGGGACAGTGGACAATGGATGAATGGAAAGTGTTCACTAGAGGTAGTACCGACAAAATAATTGAATTGTTCCAATATGTGCATTGGTTAAAACTGATGCATGTGTAGCATTATGTAAATTTTCATGAATGTTCCTTGATCACCTACATGCATATACCTTATCACTGATCATTTTGTGTAATACTGCCTTGTTTCAAACATCCAATATTCTACCACATTTCAGTTTTAGTGAACATTATAGGACCCAAGGCTAAACCAGCCAAATCACATTGATTTTGTTTATGAAAATATTTTTCCTGCACATCTCATCAAGATATTCTCTAAGAAGCACAACCAAACTTGATTAAGCTAACCAATTTTCACAGTAGTACCAGCTCTATGCTACATAGATTGTGGTACCTGAACTTGGCTTGGAAGTTGAGGTAAATAATTTCTATGTTTTGCACACGAAATAAATGGCTATGTTCAGAAAATCACCACGACTGAAGTTCTATCTGAAGGAAATTCTATTAGGAAGCACAGTAGAGAAAGTATTTTAAGCATATTGGCTTCAAACCATCCCAATGGTTGGATGAGCACATCCTGGGATAACATGGAACACCCTAGGAAATATCAGGGTGTTCTGTGACAAGTATACAAAGTTTTGTACACATAACTATTAGAATACAGTAAACTCCTGAAACCATTTTTTTTTGTTTGTTTAGGTTTGTTTTCTTCTCTGTATCTCAGAATGTTCATGCAAGTACAGGAATGCTTCTGTTATTGAAGAACAGACTCACCGGCTCAAGGTTGACTCAGCCTTCCATCCTTCCGGGGTAGGTAAAATGAGGACCCAGATTGTTGGGGGCAATGTAAATATATATATATATATATATATATACATTGCTTACTGGTGTACACCGCTTAGAGAGTGCTTGCACTTAAAGCGGTATATAAGTCTCATAAATAAATAAATAAATAAATAAATAAATAAATAAATAGGACAATTTATTTTAAGTCAAATTATGAATTAAGTCTCTATCTTTTTTTAAAAAAATAACACTTTACTGGGTTATTTGTACTAGGTCGGTGGTACTTTCTACTAGAGGTAACTTATTTCCTAAGTGTTTTCATATACAATATATTGTAATAAGACAGTTGGGAAAAAAGCAATCCTATATTCCATAGGACAAGTATTACTATCTAAATTCTCAGAAAATTATAACATCTGTCAGACAAACAAATAGAAATGTGAGACAAATTGATCTTCTAAAACAAGTTTTAGCAGGTGTAGAAGATATACTGAAGTCCACTATTATCCATAAAATAGATAGATAGATAGATAGATAGATAGATAGATAGACAGATAGATAGACAGACAGATAGACAGACAGACAGACAGACAGACGTGGGGCTACTCTGGGTGGCTTACAATAGTAGAAAGTAAAATTGTAAAAATAACCATACTGTAGTAAGACAATGAAACAATAAAAATAAAGCACAGCAATATGAATTAAAAGATGGGCAAGTAAAGGGCAGGTTGCACAGGGGGAGGTGGGGTCAGGTAGTTAGTGTATTGGGTCCCTGGCCAACTAGATGAGCCAGGTCTTCAGGCTCTTACAGAAGGACAGGAGGGTGGGGACAAGCCTTACTCCAGGGAAATGGATATTAAAGATCATGCCTTTCTTTATTTTTATGGGAGAAAAGTACCTGACAGCATTCATTCTTACAGATAACAGTGACCCCCCCCTTTTAAAAAGAGAACTATTTTCCACTTAAGAGTAAATGTGAGAAGGGGCAATCTATTGTAAGTTATAGTAAGATTTCAAAAATAAATAAAATCTGTTAAATAAATTCAAAAGGGAAATATTTGCTGACCTTTCTAAATTAAGATTCACTTTCTATTTTGAAGACAGTGAAAACATTTATTATGTGCTCCCCAGAATTTGAAGTCAAGGTTTGCTTTTGGAGTTGAGAAGTGATGGGTCTGACAAATTAACCTCCCACCATGCCAACATTAAAAGCCTCTTGACATATTATAAGATCAGGAATTGGAGAAACAACTAGAATTCTCAACTCATTCCCTTTTTCCTACTCCAACATACAAGTATGATTTTGGCAGTACACTAAAATGAGCAAGGAGGAATGCACAATTCTAAGTAGTATGTAAAAGTTTATTCTTTTGAGCAAGAATCTCTATGTAATCACAAAAAGAATACATGCTATACAGAAAAGGAATAGGCAAACAAAAATCTATGTATTTTTCTCTTATCAAAGTTAATGTATTAATAGATAATTTTGCTTTATTAGTGTTCTAAGATAGCCAAAAGTTTCCATATAATCAAACAATTTACAAATGCCAGCACATTGTGAAATTATGATTTAAGTTACAGGTGTAAATGTGTGATACATCAGAATGTGAAACTCTTCTTTCTCTCCTTATTTGCACTACACTAACTTCCTGACTTCATTTAACTCATTTAAACATGGTTTTAAAAATCTGTCATCCTACTCTGAATATGACAATAGAAACAGCCAAGGAACTATTTTTGTTCAAATACTTTCAGTAATGGAGAGTTCGCTCTTAAGTGGCAGACTCCTAATTCAGATTTTTTTTCTTTTTTATAATAAGAACCTGTAATGGAAAATTATTTTTACTATTAACTGCCACTTTTTTAAAAATAGAGTTTTACTGAAACATTTTAATGTATATACAATCACTGTGCTATCTCTTCCTCTATTTCTATATAGTTACCACCATGTTTGTCAAATACCACTTGATTTGTAAAACAAAAAAAATTAAAATAATTAAAATAAAAATTCAATGTCAAAATCCTTCATCTCGTTCATGATGACTACTAGAAATTCTTCTGCTAGCATTTTTTTTAACTACCCCTAATTATCTGTTTAGCACTTAGGTTTCTAGTGTCTGAGAACAAGAGGTTTTGAAATCAAATGTCTGAATTACCCATGTTTCCTGTCCAAGTACATAAATACAGTTAAGTGAAATCAAACCCAGTAAGGTATGAAACTTTTCAAACTTATTGCTTATGATCAAATGGCGTGTGTTTGTATGTGCGTGCACAAGTGCGCATGTAACCCATAGTTATTCTGCCTTTTTGTTTAGGTAAGGAAATATTTGAATATTTGAAATGATAACCCAATGGGTCACAATTGTCTAGTTAACTATAAAATGTTCAGTAATAATGTATTGTTTTTAAGTTCATGTGGTTTGCAAGATTAGTCGGCAAAATGACTTTGCATTCTTGCAAATGTGTGTGCTTTATGGTTCAAATTGATATCCGGTTCATACTTTTATAATAAAAAATATATGCTATAAAACATAATTCAGGGCTGCCTTGGAGTTTACTTTTAGTGAGAGGAAGAATACTGAGTATCTGTATCTATATTGTAGCTCCTCTACAATATAGGATGAATTTATTTAAAAATAAAATTTAGGCCAAATAGATATCTTTACTGCAGAATATAGCATCATTTACAATTAACTAATGAGATTTCTTTTTAAAAAATGCAGTATGTTGAACTTAGTTTTCATTAAAATAGTCTTAAGTGTTTTTTGCAAATGATGTGTAAGATAAATGTATTCATAATTTGATACTACAAAAAGAATTGAAACAGCAAAAATTGCAAGTTTTTACCTTCACCATATATTTAAAACAGCTATGTTGCAATGCTGGTTTGCAAATCTCTCTAATGAATACTGTTCTTTCTCATAATACTACCAGACAGACAGATTAAACTGGATGTTGGCACTGCTTTTTTATAGGATAATTACTTGCTTGGTGGCAGATGGCATGCTTATATTTTTGTGGAATCCAATCCAGAAATGTAGGAAAAGTTTGAAAACAATATTTGCTTATATACTAGCTACTAGTTTATGTCTCCTATTTACATATATCATATGCTACCTGAATAATATATCTGAGTTCCCAGAGCCATGTTGTAGTTCAACAGAGTGTATAATGCATCTCTTTTGGATTTTTTTAAAAATAAAAAGTGCTATAACCTTACATTTTAAGATATCCTTTCTAATGTTATACAATAATGTGATATTACTCAATTTCTGATTTCTGATTTGTCTGAAATGGTGTAGGGTTTCCTGCCCGAGCAGGGGGTTGGACTAGATGACCTCCAAGGTCCCTTCCAACTTTACTACCACTACTATTTGTTGCTTGATCTTGGGATGTGTATTGCTTACAGTATTTAATTTCTATCCCAGTTCAGTTATTCACGCCTTAAAGAGTGATTCAAAGCTGTCTTATCAGCTTTTGCTGATTCTGAATCTTTGATGTCAAACACTTCAAAAATAATGCCTCAGACTAAATATAATAGAAAAATTTATAACTTTCTTTGTCAAAATTGGGCAAATTTTAAAAATATAATAGCCCCTTGCAAGCAGAAGCTTTTTTTGTATTTTTGTGATAACCACAACTAAACTTTTTTTTAAAGGAAGCAAGTAATACATTACTTGTTATTCCCCTTCTGAGAGAAACACATCCTTGGGAAAATTCATATCCTTTATAATTTGGAAGTTTGTGTTCTTATGAAAATGATACACAACACAGAGAAAACCTCTGCTTTAAAAAAAATGTTTAGCTTCTGTAGAAGGATGCCCTGGTCTCTTTGAGAAGAACATTGTAAAACTTTTCATTGGAGTGATTTTTAACCTGTAAAGAATGCATTACCACCCACAAATCTGGGTTCACATAGCATACTAAAATCTGAAGAAATTTACATTTAGTGAGATGCATATTATCTATGATTCTGTGTGCCACCAAATTTCTAATGAACTTTCAATGAAATTCTAATTTTTCTGCTTCATAAAAATGCTGATTTGATTTAGTCAGTTCCTGAATCTTTCCAGATCAGTTCAATTCTGCAATGGGATTCAGTCTCCTACCAAATTTCACTCATCATGATTTCATATCAGTATAGTTTTCTTGCAATATTGCCATTGCATTCTGCTAACTAGAATATTTTTTATTAACCCATCTACCTATAACCTTGGGGTTTAAGTAGTATTTAAGACATAATGCTTATTATATGTTTTTCAAGCTGGGAAAATTTTGCAACCATTCTACTGATTCTATTCATAAAAATGAATTATTTTTATAGGTTCAGCTTCCTGGATCAAGTTTACAAGCTACTGCCCAATCCTTAAATGTACAGGTAAGAATTACTATAAATTTCTCATCCGTCTGAATCCATTTAGTTGTGACACAATAGTGTGACACAATAATCATTAACTTAGGTATTCAACAGCAATTAATGCTGTTAAAACTATTAAAAAGAGCTCCTTTTATATTACGGAAGCAGGTATTATCATCATCATCATTTTATCCTACTTTTTTAATATATCATTTTGGAAAGTTATACAATATTGGAGAAAATACATTTATTTTCAATAGTTGAATCTAAAACTTGTTCATTTCTATCAAACATATATAGCTGACTAAATACGCTTCATGCTATACCACATTGTGATCCTCTGATTCTTATTAAAACATTCAAGCAATATATTAAAAAACAAAAGGAATACAACAAACAGTATTTTGAAGTGGCTTCATTATCAGAATGCTAAAGACTGAAGACTATTCTTGAAGCCTTCTAGAACACACATCTAGTTACAAATGATGCTTCTGAAAGAAATAGGAAAAGTGACCTTCTTCTGTAAAAAAGAGGCTGAACATTGACTTGGTTGCCATGGTAAATTTTCAATCCCAGAGAGAGATGTTGGCAAACACACTATATCTCCAGTGCAGAATGTTTACAGTCCTGTGCTGTAATTATCTCTCAATGACTGGCAGAATTAATCAGAGCCTCTATGTTAATTAGCCTGCTCTGTGGTCCCCAAAACAGGTGGTGGAAAATATGCAAATCTATGCAGAATTTTAATGTTCTCCATAAGCAATTTTAATTAGCATAAACCCCTCTTTGGGCTTTTCCCCCTATCTTTCTTTTGCTTTCTTGCTTGCATTTCCTACCTTGTGGCTATATTAATTTGTTTTTCTGTAAAATAGTTTAAATATGTAAACTGAGCTTGCTGTTATAAATACCAGAACTTCACTGATTAGAAATAATATTGGTATTCTGAGTGTTGGTTTTCTTTCCCTTGGTACTTTTTGTATACAAACATTTTAGTATCTTGTTTAAATTGAATGCCATATTGATAAAATGGATGCATGGAAATTGTGATCCTCTGATCCAAAGCTTCAGTGTATTAGTAATGGTTTTCCCAGTAATTAATAGGGTTGGGCAATGTCACATACTTGGTGAAGGTGTGCATCTAAGAATATCGGTAACATTGCATTGACTAGGAAAGTTTGGAAGCTTTAGCAGCACTAATTAATGTACTGGTTTAAACCAATACATAAATGACAGGGAGATAATAAATCAGAGGTTTTATGTATTCAACATATTCATTTCTATCCAACTATGAAAATAACCTGAAATTACTGTTCTTTTCTTTTGTTCTAAGTATTTTGTTTTTTACTGGTATGAAAGCAAATACAACCCCCATCTATTATTTGTGCTTACTTACAGAAACAAATAAGCTTTTTAAAGTTTTTTTTTAAAAAAAACACAAATTAATTCACATTCAATGAAAAGGGAAAACACTATAATAGAATATGTTTTTGTCCATACTAATAACTGCTGTGTTCTACAAAGTTTGTATTTTTCTTTCTCTAGTCTAAATCTAATGAAGAATCTGGGGACACTCAGCAGCCAAGCCAGCCTTCACAGCAGCCTTCAGTTCAGGCGGCCATACCGCAAACGCAGCTTATGTTGGCTGGAGGGCAGATAACTGGGGTAAGATCAGCTATAGAGAATGAGCAACCTTCTCAAGTTGTGGTATTAGCCAAACAACCCAAAAAGGAAAATGAAGTAATCCCAGTGAATCTGAATTTATCAATATTATGCATTCCTGTAAACCTCTGACAAGGCCATAACACTGAGATTGTTATATAATTACTCTGTGTAAAGAGAGAAAGTACAAAACTTCTCTTTGCTGTTTCTTCTAAATATTGCAATTTCATATGATATTCTAGAGTGTAATGGAGTAGTCTTTTGATCTCTGAGCCCAATATATTGTATTAATGTTTTAAGTTTACACTTTTAGTTTTATACGTGGTGGCAAAAGTTGTCCTTGCTAGCTTCAACAATAAATTCATTTGAAATCTCCTAAGCAACAGCAGCTCTATTGCAAAATATTAGTGATTGTAGATACAAAGCAGCCTAAAACATTAGTGCATTTTTACATATTTGTTTCTAGTCTTATGAAACATAAGCTATTTGTGATAAAATCAGTAGCATGATAGAAACGGCAAAGTAACTTATTATATGATTGAAATAAGACATGTATTGGTGTCTCTGAAGTCACAATGAACTCACTCTCATATTCAGGAACATTGAATCAGGTATTTTAATATTCATTCTAAAGAGTAACTTTGATTACATGTTTTGGTTTGTTGACCTTCTATTTTTCATATAGAAAAATGAACCCTTAGATTAACATTTTAAAAGTTGGCATGAGATGAAAAGCTCTTTATATAGTGCTTTTCAGTTGAGCTCTTTGTATATTTTTCAATTGAGCAAATGTATGCCATAACAATAGCTAAATAACATAAAAATCACAATTTTACTGTAATCTGAGTATCATTCTTTAAGGCTTATGATAAGAGTATGTGTGAATATTTGCATGGACCTGTTCAGCATCCTTCAGGCTTTTTCAAATGCTGTCTGGGGTCATATTGCTGAAATGTTCTTGCCTGTAATATAGGGAGTGGATCCAGGTTTTTGAACCTAGCAGCTCTCTCATTACAGAAACTGGGAAGAATATTAATGTGTCAGAGGGAGTTTGATGCCACCTGTTTCATAGAGATAATGCATGTTTGTAAACTGGCAGAGATGTCAACTTACCAGCTCAATGTTATCAAAACAAAAAGACAGACGGAAGAGGGGGTGCCTTGGAAAGGAACAAATGGTGCACATGCTCCTCATCTATATCTTAAGGCATAATGGGAATGATGGAACATGGCAGGGATTCATACTAATATGAAGCAGCTGGAGTATTGTCAGTTGTTTGGTAACCACAGCCAGCATTGCTATTTTTCATTCATCTGGCTAATCGCTTGTGCTTCTGGTGGATGTAAATTTCCTTTCAAAGCCTGTCAATGATGGCTTGTTCTTTTTGCTTGCTATTTCCTGTCAGTGCTGTTTCTCTGCATTGCTTGCTTGCTAATTACCTTTTTCACACTGATCTTGAAGAAAAGTCATAGAGAATCTTGCTTCCCTGATCCCAGTGGTACGAATGGTCACAAACACATGCCAGCCCCATTTGGGTGATGTAAAATTAACTGGATAGCTTGATTTTTTTTTAACTGAATCAAAAAATGCTTAATATAAAATAGCCTATCTAATAAAAACTTCTCAGGAATTAACAGTAATATTTAAGAAGTGGTTGTTCCTTTCCTTTATTAATTACTATCCTAAAACTTGTTTCTAGCTTACGTTAACACCAGCCCAGCAGCAATTATTGTTACAACAGGCACAGGCACAGTTGCTGGCAGCTGCAGTGCAGCATTCAGCCAGTCAGCAGCACAATGCTGCAGGGGCCACCATCTCAGCTTCTGCTGCAACACCCATGACACAGATTCCTCTATCTCAGCCGATACAAATTGCACAGGTGAGGTTCAAACTGTTAATGGCTTTAGTTGGTCAAATATGTCTTCTTTTGTTTGTCCACAGAATAGCTGAAGTTTAGATCCATTATATATCATGTAATGAGAATGTCTTGGGAACACAGTAACTGCTTCCTGTTGCAGAAAGTGTGTAACTTTTTTAATGCATCACTATTTGATCGTAAGGAAGGAAGGAAATGAAAAAGTAGAAAGTGAGAGTAAGAAGCTTAGCTGATAAAGCTGAACTGTGGAATCAGCAAAGCAAAACTTCATGTCCAGATCTTCATATAAACTCTAGATCAGGTCCTCAACCCCTGGGCCATGGCCAATTCGGAACCAGGCCACACAAGCAACAGGTGAGTACACACACATGCATAGCTCCAGTTGTGTGCATGCACCTGCTGCTTGCACAGAACCATCCCCTCTTCCCCCTGCCTGGCTATCAAGCCAGAAAGGTTGGGGACCGCTGCTCTAGAATCTTTCACACTGTAGACTTTAGGAAATGGTTTTGTCATTTTCTTTATCATTAACAACATGGCTTTTCTTATTTGAATTTATTTTATAACATATTACCAAATAACTATTTCTTTTAATAGATTTAGTCAGTGGAATCAATGATTTGGAAGATCATTCGAATAGCACATAGACCATTAAGTCAAAATCTTAATGCTATGTACAGGAATCAAATTCATTAGTGACAAATGGTAAATCAGCCTCAGCCTGTACCTGAACATATCTAGTAAAGGAAAGACCATTAATACTATTAGAGAATTGCTCTTATTGTTAGAAAAATTTGGCCTTGACCAATTAATTTTCATTTAATTAATCGATTTCTGTATGAATACATTAAGCAGATCTTTAAAAATTATGTAGTGTTGTTTCTTGCCTTCTGTCTAGTTCTGTTAATAATATTGTTATATAACAGTATAATATGATATACTGTATTATATATATATTTATATATAATATAAATAATTAGCACTTATTTGCATATCATAAAAGAATCCATTTTTACCATTCTGCTTGTTGACCAATTTGTTGTCTCTGAAAGAGCTACTAATGTTTCGGTGGTCATCATGACACCATCAGTATGATTCCCAGTATGTTTTTTTAATGTAGAAAAACATCATGATGATGATGGTGAATTGGTCCTGGCCATCTCCAAAATGTACATTGCTTCATTTATATTTCATCCCTTGCTCCTCATGCATAAGTGGGGAAATCCTGCACGTTTTGCTGGCTAGAAAGGAGAAAAGGTAATAAAGAAAGGCAGTATCTTTCCCCCCTCTAAAAACGCCAGCTGCTTGCACAGAAGTAGGTGCATGAAAAAAGGAGGCAGAACCCATTAGATTGTCTTGTTATTGAAGGTTGCTGCAGAAAATGTCAGTGGGGGTCTGCCTTTTTCATGAGTCAGTTGACAGATGAGAACAAAAATGGCTTTTCTCCTGCCCTTTCACAACTTCCCTATCAGCAAGGGACAGGTACAGAGAATGAAAGAAGCAGCCTGAAGCATCAGCATTTGCTAAGTATTAAGAAGTTATTTCTGTTATGAACATGGCAGCATATCTGAAAACTTGAAAAGTTTTTCAGTGGAAGGGATGATAAAATGCATTGAACTCTTTTTGTTCCGTGTATATTCTTCAAAGGTGTACATAGGTGTATCGTGTTCAGGAAACAAGATGTTTGGAGTCCTTCTTCCTTTGGCTTTATTTTAAAAAGGAGAAGGAGAAGGTGTTTAGTTTTGGATATCTCATATGTTTTCCTTCTTGAAGGATCTGCAGCATCTACAGCAGCTCCAGCAACAAAATCTCAATCTGCAACAGTTTGTCTTGGTGCATCCAACAACCAACTTGCAACCAGCACAGTTCATCATCTCACAAACACCGCAGGGGCAGCAGGGTAAGCAAAACATTTCTGAGATGATCTTTTAGAGTTTTTCATGTAGCAAATTCCTGTATTTTTTAGAAATTTTTAAAAAAATTGGTTACAGGCATGTTTCTTTTGGGAGAAAAAGAAACTGTTCTATTGGAACCATCAGATTGACTATAGTCATGTGATCAGAAGGCATCTACTCAGTGTTCCTTTATAAGAATCATTTATTCTTACAGTAGCTGTGAAAGATAAATGAATATATATTTTAAAATAGTTTTTTTCTAATTGCATATTGATTAATTAGCAACAAATTTACACTTCTTAGAATGTTCAGCTGGATCACCTGCTTGAAGCTTAAGCATATAAGAATAATCATTAATTGTCTGAGGTTGTTTCCAACAAATTCTATGGAATAGATATGCCATGAACATTCTAGAACAGCGGTTCTCAACCTGTGGGTTTGCGACCCCATTTGGGGGTCAAACAACCATTTCATGGGGTCACCAAACAACGCAGTCCGCCATTTTTTTCCCCTTTTCCTTAGCTGTGCTACTCCCTTTTATTCTATTGGCTTTTGAATAGAGTCTAATTCTATTGGCTTTCAAAAGCCAATAGGAATTGTCCAGGCTGTCTCTGCCCTGCTGAGCCCACCAAAAGTCCCATTCTGCAAACAGTGCTGCAAGTTGTCTGCAGCAAAGGCGAGCTGTCTGGAAGTTTCCACCCCTCCCTGCTGAGCAACTACTAAAAAGGTAAGTAAAAGAGGACCAGGGGTGGGAGATGGGAGGCCGGCGGGCACAGAGAGGGTTGCTGGCGCGCGTGGAGCCCGGCGGGTGCCTTACCTCCCTTGGGCTGGGCCAGCTGGTGGCCCAGCCGGTGGTCGGCCTGCTCCGTCTCTGCCGCTTGCCAGCTACGCCTCGGCCAGCGCAGGGGGCGGCACCACGCATGCACGGCTCTCCCGGGAGGGAAAGTCTCGGATCTTATCAACCGGTTTGGGCAGTCCTTGCTTAAGACCGGTGGGTTAGTCCTCGAATTACGACCGGGGTGGTTCGGGGAGCGGGTTACGGCGAGTCGCGCGGGGGGGGTTTCGTGATAGGTGGCGCGGTGGGGCGAGTATTTCGCGGCTTTTTTTTTTTCGCGCACTTTGTTTGTTTGTGTTGTCTCGCGGTATTTTTTCTCTTTCTCGTTCGTCTCTTCGTTGTTCGAGTTTCGCCTTTTATCGCTGTTCTTCTTTTCGTACTCGGCATTAAAAAAGTTGAGAACCACTGTTCTAGAAAACTCTATGAGAATAGTGTCTTTATATTTTGGATCTGTCCATTGTTTGCTTGTTTGTTTTTGCTTAAAAGAAGCACAAAAAGCTGGAATCAAAAGGGACATGCCTTAAACATGATTTGCTGAATGCTTTTGTTTAGCACAAAATAATCTTAATGCATTTATTATTTTTATAATTTCAGTACTGCCCAACACCACTGGCTCTGAGTGGTTTGCAGTATAACAAAAGCACAAAAACAAAGCAAGATTATATCCATTTGCTCCAGATAAAATCATGGAAAAACATATACCACATAGTAACCAAAGGCCTGGAATGTCTTTAAGGCCTTCAGAATGTCACCAGGGTAGGAATCATACTGATATCAGTGGGAATCTCATTCTAGAGAGCAGGCCCCATGATAAAGAAGTCACATTTCCTGGATTCTGATAGAGAGCACTGTTTAATCAAAAGAACATGGAACACATCAATTTTATCAGCACATGTGGACCAGGCAGAAACCAGGGAAGATGGGTGATCCTTCAAATAATCTGTTCCTATTCCATGCAGAGTTTTATAGGCTATAACCAACATATTAAATCACAGTTGGAACATGCTGGCAACCAGTACAGCTTGTAAAGTGAAAGTCTCACATAGACATTCTGAGGTATATGTATCATTCCCACACTGCTGCATTCTGGACCAGTTGAAGCTTCTTAATGGTATTCAAGGGTAGTCCCTACGTACAGCGCATGACAGTAATTAAGCCATGAGGTGAATAGAATATGACTGATTTTCTGAAGGAAATATTGGGGTTAATATAGATACCCTTTAACGCTAGGCTGGGCTACAAGTATGATACAAAAAATCTTTGCTTTTTAGAACCTGTACTACAGCAAACTATGCTAATTCATTTCATTTATGTAAATGCATTTCAATTTTCAGGTCTCCTGCAAGCGCAGAATCTCTTAACGCAACTACCTCAGCAAAGCCAAGCCAACCTCCTGCAGTCTCAGCCAAGCATCACTTTCACCTCTCAGGTCAGTTTATTGTTTGTTTATTTTGTTTTATTAATTCTGCTAACTGATGAGGATAGAAGAAATAGTGCATGATTTGAATTGTTGGTCTCATTCTTCAGGATTATCTGTAGAACCCAGGTGACCTTCAAAATACCTATCATGTCATCTTCTTTAGGGTGACACATTGCTGCAGTTGTTTCTTATCAACAAATTTACTGGACAAGAGGGGCATGGAATGACATTTCCAATTCAGTTTCATTTTCAGTTGCCTCCAAACAAATATTTGGTATGCTACTGGGAATATACCATAGTATTTTAGGGGTAAAGGAAATGAGAGGGGAATAATGCCGTCGTTCTCCCCTCGTTATAATTTCTCTTCCCAAAAACAGTCTTCATCTTGATTACAGTAAATGAGGGTGCTAGGTTAATAGCCTTTCCCCATTCCAGTGATCCTTATCATGGAAGAGGAAATAGAGATGTTCTGATCTTTTTCTCTTAAAGATCTTTCTTTCTATTATTTCATAGTTTAAGAAGAAGCTTTTAAAATAATATTTATTTCAATCCTGAATCTCCATCTGTTTATTTTCGGTGGATCATTTTGAATGCTAGCATTAAGAGAGTGAGAAGAAAATTTTATCTCTATTTGTTTTATCTATGCCATCAATTATTTTATATAATTCTATCATATCTTTCCATACCATTCTTAATTGCAAGATAAGGCATCTCATTGCTGTAGCCTTTCCTCATAGGAGCTGCTTCATCCCCCTTTTTTACATTAATTTCAATGTTGAACTGTACACAGTAGTCAAGGGCAATTGCTCCATAAATTTATATGGCAATATTATATTGGTACTCCTGTTCCCTTTCTGTATTCCATCCATGACATTCGTCTTTTGTGCAGCATTTTCAAGCTGTCCACTATTACACTGTTACATAATCACCTTTCCTGGTCAGTTACTACCAGCTCACATCCTATTAATATACAATGAATTTTAGATTTTTTAAATGCCAACATGTAACTCTTTACACGTGTTTACTTTGAATTGTATTCACTTGGGAAAGCCCATTCTTTACAATCTCTTTGGATTTAGTCACCTATTGCTACTAATCAGCCCTACTTCCATATAATTTATATACAAGTTGTTCTGAACTAGGTCCTTGTGAGAATTGAAAATTTATGCCTACTCTCTGCTCCCTGGTTTTAATTAATTGCTAATCCATGAGAGCACTTGATTATGCCTAGGACTCTTTGGTGAGATTCTTTGATCAAAGCTTTTCTGAAATTGTGAAATATCTGTTAAGCTATCCTGATACCCGATATCAAAAATATCTATCTTCATTTTTATTATTTTGAAATAATTAAAAGTATTAACTTCCTTCCAAATAGCCATTGTGATATCAATTTTACTTACATGGTTTTTCCAGGACACTGTTGATCATGTGATAATTGACACACATTCCTAGGAGTACATAACACCAATACCATACATTGACTAATTAGCTTCCAAGTAAAATTTAAAATGCTGGTTTTAAGACTATGATGTCCTCCGTGGTTTGGTACTCTTGACAGTTTCAGGACTAGTTATTACAACCTGATCTTTCCCAATCCACTTAGTTATTCAGAGAAAATCTCCTTGCACTCCCACACTTTCAAGAAACAAAGTGAATGAAAGTTAGGAGACGCTGCTTTTCAATAGTAAAACTGTTATTTTGGAATAATTTTTCAGTAGAGATTATACTGTCCCCCACTATGATTGCTTTCAGGATGATTGAGCTCTTTTAGAGAGTATTCTAGATATTTTATGTGTTATGCCATCTTGTGTAGTTTTATTAAATTATGCTGATCTTGTTATATGTATAAATTTTATCATTTAGTGACTGAATATAAATATAGCATGGATGTTTAATTTTTCTGAAACCCTGTGAGCTCCCAAGAATTATTATTGACTGTGGTTAGAAATGTAATAAATGCATAATATTCCTTAGCTCATTCACACTGCATAGTGCTGCAGTTCCCAAACTTTGCCATGTCACCCTAAGCCACAACAGCAAACTCACAGGAGCTAATTATAAGTACTCCTCGACTTATGATGACAATTGAACCCAAAATTTATGTTGCTAAGTGAAAAATTTGTTAAGTGAGCTTTGCCCCATTTTATGACTTTTCTTGCCACATTTATTAAGTGAATCACTGCAGTTGTTAAGTTAGTAACATGGTTGTTAAATGAATCTGGTTTCCCCATCAACTTTGCTTGTCAGCAGGTCACAAAAGGCAATCACCTGACCTCGGGACACTGCAACCGTCATAAATATGAACCACATATCAAGATCTGAATATAAATCACATGACCATGGGGATGCTGCAGTGGTCATAAGTGTGAAAAATGGTCACTTTTTTCAGTTCCATTGTAACTTTAGACGGTCACTAAATGAACTGTTGTAAGTCGAGGACTATCTGTACTTAGTGAAAATAATTGTTTGGTATTTATTTTGCCCTGGGGCACCATGAAAAATTTACTGAGAAAGCAAGGGTTCTGTATACCACAAAAGTTTGAGAACCTCTGGCATAGTGACATAAACTATTGAGTGCAAGTGCACTTGAATTGAACACAAGACAATTGTGTTGTGGTACATTATTACTGCACTTTTCATATTACTCTATTTTCCCATATTTCTTAGCAGCCAGCAACCCCAACACGCACAATAGCAGCGACCCCTATTCAGCCACTTCCACAGAGCCAGACAACACCAAAGCGAATTGATACACCCAGCTTGGAAGAGCCCAGTGATCTTGAGGAGCTTGAGCAATTTGCCAAGACTTTTAAACAAAGACGGATCAAACTTGGATTCACTCAGGTATGATCGCATTTCCATTTAGAAGGAATTTGGTCACTGGTATTCAGATCTGAGACTCTTAATCACTTTTCCCAATTAGAAGTGGTTTCTTATTTATAAATTTGCAATATTATTTAATGTTTATTCATACTGGTATATTTAAATAAATGCTTATTGGATATTTGGCACCCAATTTGATAAGGGACTTTTGAGGCATATCGGTTGGACTCCTAAAGATAATATGCTAACAAAGAACTTCTGGTTTAGATAGAGCTCACACTTAGTATTATGGAGCATTGCATCCATGGATATGGATCTATGTTATAAAAACATGGATCTATGTTATAAAAACATCTTCATAACTTCCCATAGAAAATCTCTTAGGTGGGATTAACTCATCTGTGGCAAGTTTTTAAGAGATATTGCAGTTGTAAAATGAACGTATTATACTGTATGCAATAAGTATCACAGACATTCTACAACAGTAGTTTACTGAAAGTGGAAAACCATCTCTCACATATTGAGTAGAAATCTTCTTACATCTGATATCCAGAACAAATTACAATCTTTTTGTCCATGTAGGGTGATGTTGGGCTCGCTATGGGTAAACTATATGGAAATGATTTCAGTCAAACTACTATTTCTCGCTTTGAAGCCTTGAACCTCAGCTTTAAGAACATGTGCAAGTTAAAACCACTTCTGGAAAAGTGGCTCAATGATGCAGGTAAATTGATGTCTAGATTTTCTCATAATTTCACAGCTGATTTCTGGAATTCTGAAAATGCTTCCTGTTAATTTTCCTGAGGATATAAGTACAGGAATATATCTGTAGAAGACTTAATGCATTATACAAAAAAAATGTGGAATAGGATTTACAAGTAAAACTAGTCAGATTTTTCAAAAAAAATATTGTGCAGTATTGGCTAAAGCTTAAAGCTTTTCCATGTCTGTGTCTTATTTATAGTTGTTTTCTGTTAAAAATAACTTCATAAGCATTGCATAAAATTTTATGTTCCTAAGACAAGTGTTAAAAATATTTGAGAAAAAATACTGAGTAGTGGACATCAAACTTTTATTCTAAATAAGGATATATGCAGTTTACCACAGTGTAAAACCATATGTTTAATAAATAAGATGTTAGTATATATAGTTGTGGGAAGTTGATTTCATTCATTGGAATTCTGAGTCTCCTTTCTTTTTGCAAGTGGGTGAGCTGCTTGTTTCGTTGGAATGGATTTGTACATATGAGCTTCAGGTCCCAAACAATAGAACTTTGGAATGTATGTATGTTTTTAGGCAAGCACAATGAATGAAATTTACTTTCTTTAAACTAACTTCCTGCTTACGTTACACTAATTACCATGATTAACTTGACCTTTTTGCAGAAAACCTCTCATCTGATTCAGCTCTTTCCAGCCCAAGTGCCCTGAATTCTCCAGGGCTGGGGATTGAAGGCTTGAACCGTAGGAGGAAGAAACGCACCAGCATAGAGACCAACATACGTGTGGCCTTAGAGAAGAGTTTCCTGGAGGTCGGTACTTGCACTGTACTATTCTAGTATATAAGGTATATCAATATATTTTTAAAAAAAAGTTGATGAAATGGCGTGCAAATGTTCATATATGCACACTGTTTTAGGACTTTTGTGGAAAATAGATCACACACAAACAAGTGCATCTTTGCATTGATATGTCACTTGCATTTTTTATATTTTTATTTTAATAAATAATTGAAGATGTATTAGAGAGAAAGAGTGTAAAAGAAAAGAGCAAAAAAAAAAATAGAAAGATTTACAAGCAATATAAAATTGAATAAGGATTTTTCAAGGTAACATTAGACTATATAAAGGTAATAGTTTTATCAGTATAGTATTTCAAAATAATTATTAAAATATTATTCAATAATTAACAAGGCAGAGAGTATAATAATCATTAAACAGAATGAGCTATTTATAAAAAATATTATCTAATTGAATAATATCTATTCTTATTGCAACAATTCAGGCAAGATTTAATCATTTAAAACCTTGTGTTAAGAGAATCCCAAGTAGTACTTTTCCATAAGTAAAATTAAGATCTAAATTCAATTCCATATCAGACTTTTTAATAAATAAAAAAGTTATTTTTGACACCGAAGGATATGTTCACAACTTAGTCTGCTATTCTTTCAGAGAATGAATCGTATGTGATTTCCAGTGAGAGGCATATAAAGTATTCCAGCAGTTAAAATATGAAGGAAACTCCACATTTATTTTACTTTGTAATAAGATATAATTTGTATCTAGCGTATCTGTGGTACTTACTTCTATTATTGTAGTTTCCTTTTAATCTACCGGTAGAAAGGAATATAATCCAAATTATATCATGCAACAGAAAATAGTCTAAATGGTTTATCTTTCAGAACCAAAAGCCTACCTCGGAAGAGATAACCATGATAGCTGACCAGCTGAAAATGGAAAAAGAGGTGATCCGTGTTTGGTTCTGTAATCGGCGCCAGAAGGAAAAAAGAATTAACCCACCTAGTAGTGGTGGAACCAGCAACTCGCCCATCAAAGCAATGTTCCCTTGTCCAACTTCATTGGTAAAAATTCAAAACCATTTGAATTATGTTAGATTGGGAGATAATTTGACAACTCTTGCTAAGAATAGCAAGAGGATGATATTAATATTTTTGCTTCTAAGGCTCTCAAAATCTGATACTTATGATGAGTGGACATTAATGTACACAGTTCAGTTCTTATTATTTCTGTTTTGTAGTTGATGAAGAAAGATACTTATGCCATCTTTGTGGCATGCCACTTTGAATACTTATTTAAATCTGCCTTTGTAGTATGCTAATATATTTAATTTTGTTCTTCCACACCTAGAAAGATTAATTATTTTCTAAAGATAACAAAGGGCAGCTTCTTGTGAAAATCTAAAGCTATATAGAAGTTTTCATTTGACTCCTTTATTCATTGGTGACATCCTTTTTTTAGGATTTCAGCTATTTTCTTTTGATCTATAGGTGGCAACTACACCAAGCCTTGTGACAAGCAGTGCAGCTACCACTTTGACTGTCAATCCTGGGCTCCCTTTAACCAGCGCAACTGTAACTAGTTTGGCAGTCACAGGTAAGAGGTCATTTGGACTGCAACTCCATATAAATGCTTTCTCTTTTAAAGATAAAATTATCATCATCATGTCTACAGAGGTAATCCTGAGTGGTCACTTAACGCTCGTTCAAAGTTATGTGATCAGCGCCCCCTAGTGCTTACGAGCAAACCCCAAAATTATGACTATTGCAGCACC